ACAAGCTTCTATAACTACTTATTTCAAGCGTTCGTATGAACTAATTAGTTCGTATTTTGAAACTAGAAAATGGGAGTATTGTGTATGAGATGAGGGCTTCATAATCTCATACAGCAGATCCCTCTCTCAATGTGGATCTGAGGGTTCTCGCCTTTTACCATTGGGTTTTAAAGTTTTTCTATATGCCAATGCAGAACCCTTGTGAGGGTCTAACATAAGGGCAGTGGTGATGATCCAGGACACTCAACATTCAACAACATTTATGGACATTATCAACAATTATGGACATTGGTCCTTTGCACCTTATGGATCTTATGTGTTGTCTTTTTAATGTATTGTGTTTGAACTGTTTGATTATCTGATCTGTTTTGGCAAAATCAACGGTTGTGTAAAGTCCTCAGAGATAACTACTGTTGTGATATAGCGCAATACAAGAATAAATTAAATTCAATAATGTGTGCACTTTTGTACAGTATCACTGTCATTTTATTTATTGTGTATAATTAAAATAACAAAGAGACCGCATCATCATATTCAGAAGCATTATTTTATCCTCTTTTCTGAACTAGAAGCTCAGAGAAGTCATGTTTAGGCACATTTCAGCAAATTCCTGATGCACTGTGAGATTTTCATCTGGCAATCGTTATTAATATAATACTATATGCACTGTCTGTATTAATCATTCATTGTTGTTGTGGGGTGTTTGTTCAATATCTCAATTAAACAAAAGACATTCTTTTGGTTTGATATCCACTCACCATTGCAGCGTTGTCATTGTACGGCGATAAACTAAAGCTTTGTTGACAACCGCTGGGCACAATGAAGACAATTCGAAGACAAATTCCTCAAAAATAATACCTTTGTGATATTTAGCACGATGCCAACACCTTTGCAAGTCCACATGCTGCCACATCCAGCATCAAAGTACTTTTTAAATCCCCATTGGGTTTTCCACTCTTCCACATAGCACAGCAGAGGAATTCAGGCAGCACACTATACTCTTCCACATCTGATTTATTCATGAGTGTGAACAAAGCAATCAGAGAAATATATCTATGCAGTGCTGGCCGCCTATGTATTTTTTTTTTTTTTTTTGGTTAGCTCCTCCCCTTCTCGTTGATTGCCTTGGTCCACAACTATAAAGCATTAGTTTTCTCTCACCAACTTCAGTCTATGTGTGCTCCAGGCGGCAGATCCATGCATGCCTCGATCCCCCGCCAAGTGTTTGGGGCTTCAAAGTCTCTCTCCCCTCCTCCCCTGTGCGTGCCCTCCACTCCCTGATCAGTCTTTGCAATTTAAATGGCCTATATATATTCCTCCTCTGATTGCACAAACATATCCAGAGGGCGGGTGGGAGTACGCAGAAGCCCCAGCACCTGCTCTTTCCGCTAAGGCTGTCATTACCGTAGCACACGTTTGCACACGTCCGAGCCCGGATCAAAACAAGCAGGACACAAGCGGTGACTTAATCAGGCTCTTCGCTCCTCGCTGCCTGTGACTCATGGCTTTGGATGTTGGAAAAAAACAAGAAAATATTGAGGTTTTTGGAAACATGACAGTGGTCAGCAAGTGTCGGAAGGTTCCCACTGACACTGCAGGGCCTTGCAACGACCAAATCTCTTAATTCAATCTGATTTATATGTGCGTGTGCAAGTGTGTGCGTGTGTCTATGCAACGTTTGTGAATATTTTCTCGTAGCCTTCAGCTCAGTGCGTACTCAAACAGTCTTATCCTTTTTGTTCATGTTGGAAACCCCAGGACTCTTTTGGGAAATGTATTATCTGTCAGCATGATATCATATTTAATCATATTCTTAATTTGCCTTCCACCTGTTATTGTCTCCTTTCCCCCCCTCTGTGTCAGACTTACCTAAAATACATTTAACGGTCTTGCAATAAATTCAGGCTCAGATGTGAAGAGGAATGCATTGAGTTGTCTATTGGGAATTATCTATTGATGTGGCATCTGTTGTTATAATAGTCTTGTCATGCTGGCAGTCTCTTGGCCAAGATGCACTATGAAAGATTTGCGAAAATTCTTTGTCTCTGTAACATTCATTCACACTCGATAATTCGGCAATTATTTGACACTCAGTAAATTCAAATCTAAGTACAAAGCTAATGACTAAATAATTCCCACACTGCTTTCACACCTAACAGCACGTAGGCTAGTGTGCCACCCACTTAACTACCAACATCTAAACCAGCTTTACTTATCTTAGACAGTGGTTAACTATGTACTGTATGTGATCATATTGAAATTCAGCAAATATCTTCTTCACCGTTACATATGCATGAAAAGATTGCAGCCAAAATGGTCAATGATTAAAAAGTTAGTTTTACCTGCACTCACCAACATTACCTTGTTTATTAGTTTGTACGTGTCTGAATGTGCTGATTGTGTCTGTGAGCAGAGGCATTTGTCAGGAAGATGGGTGGTGGGTTTTAATATGTAGCCTAATTTCACATACAAAAAAAAAACTCCTGTACACACAGTAAAGAAGTGGCCTTAATTTCAGATTCAGATTTGATTTATTCAGACATTTTAACATTCATTACATGAAAATAGACAATGTATACAAATTATGTCTGAAATGAAGATGCTAAAGCTAATCCTATTTACAAAACAAAAGACAGAAAAGCTGCTTTCCTTTAAATAACAAAACATGAAGCTAAGTTTCATCCAAAACAAAAAGCCAATTTTAAACAAAAACTCATTTTAGTCTGATAACCACGTGCCATGGCCCCAAAATGGCAGTGGCCACATCAGCAGCCACTGAGACCGACTACATTTCAGGGCCATGGGAATAAAAACAAACAGACCAAATCTGGCCACATTAGTTCTCTTCCCTGCTCCTCCTCGCTCTGCTTCTGCCGCTGTGTCTTCTTCCGTCTGTGCAGAAGTTTGCACAGCTATATGGGCATTACATAGGCAGGATTGGTTTGGAGGTCAGACTTGCAGATGAGCTCTCTCAAAGATGCAGTCCCCTCTTCTCTCCGCTCTGCTGCAGATTGATTAAGGCCTAAAGAGTTTTTTTTTTTTTTTGGGTTGGCAGTGTAATCTTCCGACCCATATCGAGGGATTGAAATCTGAAGGGCATAAGTGACATTCAGCTAACTTTAAGGGTTAGCGGAATTCAGTATAGTCATGCATGGAATCTAGTGATGCATAGTTGAAGCTTGGAAGATCAGAAAAGAGGTAATACTTGAGTTCTGTGGTAAAAAAAATTGTTATCAGAAGAGAGAGAGAAGAATGTGATAGACAACAATTACTCACGTTACCATCAAGGTCAGCCGAAGACCTTGTGGCCAAGATCTTTCAGTTTGTGGAAAATTACTTCACGTTGCCATTTTGTCTCCATCCTTTCATGCCATTCTCTGCAAAGTAATGGGAAAATGGTGTGTTCAGAGTGAGATGCCAGTATAGTTGTTGGTTTTGACCTTCGATTATCCAGAGACTATTCTTCAGATTCTTTGATTAGTTGTTTGGAACTCGGATGTGTGATTTTTATTTCATCTAAATTTCATTGCGGAAAAAGTGATGCCGCTGAAGACTGTTCTACTAATATTTCCAGACAAAACTATATCATGGTTAAATTGAGACATGCTTTTCTTGTTTTATTTTTTTGTAATCACTGCAATGTTAAAATCACAGAAATGACATCTGTTGGAGTCTGTGTCGATTGATCAGTGCCTAAAATAGTTGTTGATTATTGCAAAACTTGAATATGTACCAATGGTTCCAACACCGCCAATGTATGAAAAGAACACTCATACAGTATTATCATTGATGAGCAGTTCTGTGATTTAAAGTTACGATAGCAATAATGACTTGAGTGGGCAGAACAGGCTGGTATCACTCAAAACAACATTGACTGTATTGTTTTGATCTTCAAGACTTACAATTCTGTAATTGATTTGCATGATAATTGTTATAATGATTCATGAATGCTCCCTGCTCTCCCCTAGTCCTTTTAAATTACCTTTCTTAGCCGTGGCTTACAAAAGTACAACAAAAGGTTCTCGTGGCAGGGCTTACGACCACCAAGAATAAAAGGCAGCCACAAAATGGAAGCCCCCTCGCTTGCTGTCTCACGGGCAGTGGGTCATGACATTTATTGATAATACATCATTTGGAGCTCTCGCACATTGACACATGGTTCAAAAGAAAGAATCATCAACATGCTTTTAATGAATGGAAAAATATTTGACCTTTTCTGAACTAAAGTTTAAAGTGGAGTTATTCTTTAAAAAACCCCACAATGGACCACCTTTACCATTTTCAAGCAGATTATTATCTCATTTGGGATATCAGTTCGGTATAGCTGGTTGCCATGATCAGCTAAATCTTTTCTATCGACCACCACACATTTGTCTAAATGAAAACAGATGCAAAAAATGTGACACACAGAGTTTCTTCCCTTTCTAGCTAAACCCCTGTGTGTGGATTCCATCTGCAATCAGTGCTTAGGAGTTACATAAAGGCAGTAAAAATGTGGCAACACAAGTTTGATTGTAATTGTAATAACTTTATTGGACCACTAAGAGTGCAAATTACATACTGTCCCTTTAAGGTCTCAAGCAGTCTTCTCTCAGTAAATGTGCTACGCAACATACATGTTACCATATTTGTGGGGGGGGGGCGTGCTATATCTTTTCAGGTAGAATGTGCCACATAGAAACTGCTGAGTGCTCTAAGTCAAATGGATTACAGCTTCACAGTCGATGTAGAGTGTATCTTTTGCCAGAGGACTGTGGGAGTAATGGCTTATAATATCCACAAGCTCTCATTGATAATACTGCTCCCTATTGACCATAGCGACATGTCTCCTAATCATTACACACAGCCTGATGGCAATTTTATGACCTGCTGCTCTAATGTATTGACATGGAATTCATATGACAAGTCTGTGATGGAGCAAACGCAGTTACACCTCCCCCTAGTGGCAGCTTGACATCACTCACAATGCAATCTTTCTTTTGTTTGTTCAATATTTACAGGAGGGAAAGAAGAAATTTGACAAGGAAACCGAAAAATACTATTCAGTTCTTGAGCGGCATCTCAACTTGTCATCGCGAAAGAAGGAAACATATCTGCAGGAGGTAAAAAACAGAACAAAAATGGTGCTCCATGCAGTGTGTCTGTGAATAATGCTTTTAAGGCCTCCCGCAAACCACACTGCACCTATTATCTCTCCATGTGGTCTCCGTATTAACCCTTCGTCAGACTGCGAGGATGACATGGTCTTTTGTTGTGGTTCTAACCTGAGTTTTTCTCTTTTTCTTCCTTCTCAGGCCGACACTCAGATTGATAAGGAGAGACAACTCTTCTATGATGCCTCCCTCGAATATGTTTTCAAAATCCAAGAAGTGCAAGAGAAGAAAAAGTTTGAGTTTGTGGAGCCAGTAAGTGAATCTATTCGACAGTAGTGTTGAAGGCGTATCGACCAGGCAGTAATTGCTTTTCATTTTAAGTTTATGTTCTGTTGAAAGATGTGTTTTTGTAGTGTATGGCAAACAATCAGGCTGTAATACATATGGATTTTAAATGTGTCTTGATCCAGGAATTAAATGCATCAGCAAGTTTACTTCACACATTTATCACAGTTACTCAGCCAGTAAGAACATCAAGCAAACTGATAGGAAATTGTTTTGTTTTTTCTTAGCAGTAAAAATCATGACATTGTGAGCGCGGGTTAAAGGGTCTACTTAACTTGAAGAAGGAAGGACTGCTGCTCGCTGTTTCAAAACTCTTCTCTTCCTGAAATATACCCTTTGATTGGTCATTATATTTGATGCACTTTAACATACATAATAATAAACACGACAAATCTGCCTGTGAAGAAGCCAGATGTGAATAAGGTGTTTAATTGCATCTTCATTACAACATATGAGAATTTACTAGTTTTTAAGCTTAGTTTCTATACACATTTGAGCTGTATGACGGAAACTGACATGAAATGTAATATATGCATCTTACAAGGTCTCCCATTTAATGCCATCGAGAAACTGACCCTATAAGACCATATTTATTGTTTTGTAATTGACCAGCTACGTTTTTGTCCACCCTCCCAGCTTTCATTTTCTAGAAACAGGCCTTACTGACTCATACTTACTCTTACTCATTTATTAATTCATACAAAATAGTACAGAAACACTTTAGTTTACCTTGCACTTGCAGAGTTCTGCCTTTATCTCAGAAACCCAACATAAAACAATGGATAATTCTACACACATTGCTGTCATTGGTTGAATCCAGCTGCAGCTCATTCATAGCATGGCCATATAAGAAGGAGAATGTAGATTTTATGTGGGAATTATCTCTTTTACCTCATGATAAACACTAAACTGAAAAAAGGAGAGATCAGACCATAATGTTATTTCCAATGCCATATTACCTGCCCTTTTAAAGTTAACGGCCAATTATAGCATCCATAGTTACATAAGTGAGAAAGCGAAGGAGAATTCTGGGGTATTTTTTTCTTCACTGTCCTCCTTTGTTTATCCTCACTGGCAGCTCAGCCAGAGAAAGCAGACATGTAAATCTCCCAGCCCCAGGTAAAGCGGGGTAAAAATATGACGGGGCTCAACCTTGCCTGTGATGAATCTGGGCTGAGATAAGATGATGGTTCATCCTTGAACATTTGATAGAGCATCGGGAAAATCAAATCAGCGGCGAGGATTTGACTGAGAGCGGCTCGATATGTGTGGGATCGCTCATGTTGGAGATGGGATCAGTTTACGCAGCCAATAATATGGCTCCTTACTTTTCTCATCAGATGGAGAAAACTTTCACATTAAAAGTGCAGCTTGATTTAGGCATCTTAGTAAAAGAACTACATTATCTGATATCACCAAGTAATCAACAGTTCAGGCTCTCTGTCAAAGTTTTCCAAGGATCAATGTTTCATCAGGTTAGGGTTGGAATAGGGTTAGGGTTAGTTTTTGGGTTCACTCTAGCAATTTTCCTTAATAGCAATTTGGAGGAGGTCAGTCAATGCTCTGCGTACAGGACCAGATGAAATTGTATTATTAGGACTCCTTGTTTTTAGTCCAATACAATGGACCTGTGCTAACTTGTCTTGTCTGAAATCTGATGGGGTCGTTTTAAAATGCAAATGCCTCCTAAAAGTTAAGCTGAAGTAACGGGAGGAAATATTAAAATGTTTTTAGGCCTATAGACATTTATCTGCGATAAAGATGTATATCGTGTGATACTCTTGTGATAATGTATTGTACGGTTGTAAAATATATTATTTTGGAAGCAGTGCTGACTAAAGCCACAAATATTCTTTTTGGGGATTATTTTCATTAATTATACAAGTTGTACTGGCAATGTCCACTGTCTATATTATTCTGTTATTCATTGATCACGTCATTCTAAAAAATCAAAAACAAAACTCTGTTCATACAATGTACAGTGTATTTACAACAGCAGTCAATGGCCATTCATTTTAAACATATGACTGTCCAATTGATAAAACAGTTTGAAGGTTGAAAGGTAAATTAAAAGCCGAGTCAGCTGCCAAGCGGTAAGGCGACTCTGAGATTTTGGCAAAAAATCTCAGGTTTTTGGCCAGTGTGAAAATAGACAAAACTGAAATTTTATTTATTGCACAATGCTTTTAGTTACATGATCTCACTGCCCAACAATGTCAAAATCTTTTAATTACAGTCACATAATTGCTACTTTGTGAGATATAACTTGTTTACTTTCCCCTGGCTAATGCGTATTTATTTTTAAGTCTTTCTTAAACTTTTGTCTTGCTTTCGTTCTTTGTTTGTTGTAGAAAGTGCATCACATTAAGCATGTAAATCCCTCTAACTTTGTTTCCTCCGCAGCTGCTGGCGTTCCTCCAGGGCTTGTTTACCTTCTACCATGAAGGATATGAGCTGGCTCACGAGTTTGAGCCTTACAAACAGCAGCTCCAGTTCAACCTACAAAACGTAAGTCCTGGCACCTCCGGGCTGCAGACAAAGGCAACCAGCCATGTAATCGCATTCGGCAGCTTATCATACTCCATGTAACAAGACTTTTCACAAATGGATACCTGCATGCATAAACAAGATTGTTTGCAGTCCAAGGATCAATATTTTCAGAGTGCTCGAGTGTCAGACGCCACTGCAGGCATTTAATAGTGCTAAATAAAAACATACAAATCCTGAAAAAAAAAACAATCTAGTATTGAACTGCTCTTGCTGCCCTCCTAGCTGTACCTCCATCAGCTTTGCTTTCTGCTTTCAGCCTAGACACCTAGTTGCTCTGACCCCACATTTCAGCAGCTCTTCCAGGGATAGTTCCACTCAGTCTCTCTACATGCCATCTGACGTATAAGCTCAGACACTGCTATTTTTTGGGGTGTACAAAAACCCTGTAGTTCAGCATACGGTGGGACTCCCAAGCAATGAAAATACAGCTTCATAATAACGGTTCTGTTCCCTTTGATTTAGAGGGTTCTATCTGCATGCAGGGTTGTTTTCTGAGATGGAGTTTTATAAAGACCAGTTGTTTGGCAGAATGGAATGGAAAAACATATGTGCACTCAACAAAACCTATAATATGGAATCAATTACTCCAGATCGGATGCATTGGAGAATAGGTCTGAACATCCTACTGGTACTCGCAAGATAAACAATAATTTAAGGTGACGAAGGCTTAACACCAAAACATTGCTTATCCATTGTGTTTTTATATATGACTTATAAAAACTTGAAGGTATCCACAACAAAAACATCAGATGGAACCTCCTAATATTAAAGCTGGTGTAACTTTTCTTGTCATAAGCAACACGTAGTTTCTCCATCCATCCATTATCTTCCCCTCAATCCATTTCTGGGTTGGGGGGTGGCAGTCAGAGCTGCACCTAGTACACAGAGCACCAGCCCCTAAATGTAGTTTCTCTCGAGTTAAAATTATAATAATACAATTCTTATTAATTTTTAAAGTAGGCAAAAAAGTACGTACTGTATCGTCTCATCTCAAATCTTCCATAACAAAAGTATTTCAAAAAGTTGTCTACTGTTAACTTACCAAATTTGTCCTATTTAAATATATGTTCCAGTCCAGCTTTAGACCATCAGAGCACAGACTGCTATTGTTAAGGTAACACAGGACATCTGGCTGAACATTGACAAAGTCTTATCTAAAAAATAGGATGTACTTTGTTGAGATTGGAAACTGTGTATCAGATAATATGGCCCTGACCTGTGGAGGGCCACAGGGGTCGATCCTGAGACCTCTTCGGTTCAATCTCTACATGCTGCATTTAGGTCAGTTAATACGCAGAAACAGCATGTCCCCAGAAAGAAAGAGAGTGCATAGTCTGTCACCTCTATTCTCTCTTCTAATAATGGACTTAGACTTAAATTTTAACAGCCACATCAGATCTGTGATATCAGCAGCTTTTTACCATCTAAAACATTGCCAGTTTCCAAAATAGTGTCTTAAACCGTTTTGGAGATTCATATGCATGCATTTATCTCCAGGAACTGCCTGCTCACTGGGCTCTCCAAATTGAGTCCTGGCGACAATCAGGAAGTACGATTACTCTACTTCCCAAGTTTCTGTACTGGCTTCCTGTGGCTCGGAGAAATATGGTCCAATTGAATTTGAGACTGAAATAAAGATTAATAATAGACTTAAAAGCAGCTCTGCTTGCGCACAAGTCTCCCCATGGCCTCGCACCAAAGTACATCTGTGAAATTTGAGTGCCATATGAACCAACTCGGACTCTGAGGAGCACAGGGACTGGCCTCCTGCTGTTGCTCTGAGTCAGGACTTGGGGGAGGCAGCATTTCAGAATTATGCAGCTAAAATCTGGAACAGTCTTAGTTGTGCATCCAACTAAAGTATCTTCACACGTTGCAATTCAAATGTTTCTGTTCTTGTTCTGTTAAGCACCTGTTCATGTTTTGTGGTTTAAAAGTTTTTGTGTGATGTCTTTCTTACCTGGACCTTGTGTCTGTAATAAAGTTCAATAATAATAATAATAATATATACTGTATACCCCAACTTTAGGGAGCAAGCAATATTACACATAAATTAACATTCACATTATGTTTTCATCATTTTAGTCCATGCTTAAGAGTTTCTGGATATTTCCTTACAGACACGAAACAACTTTGTGAGCACGAAGCAGGAAGTGGAGAAGTTGATGAAGAGGATAAGGTCAGCTGATCAGGACTACAAGCCCTTAGGCCAGTGGACGATGGAGGGCTTCCTGTACGTCCAGGAGAAGCGTGAGTCGCCTGATCACTGTCAAACATGCATACACACGCACAGACACACACACACACACACACATTCACATAACCCCACATAAACATAACTGCAGCACTCCCATCCTTTTCACACGAGGCTTCTAACTCATCCTGTTTACCCATTCGCTTTGATGTTCCCCAAACAAGAAGGGAGAAAACCACAATTTGTAGATTTTTATCGGTACTGATAAACAGCTTTGATTTATCATGTGCAAATTGCTAAATTGATTTTTAGAAGCCTCGCCAAAAGTTTGTGAATCGAAGTGGAATAAATAGTGGCTTCTTGTTTGATTTCCCCTATAGGCCCTCTGGGATGCACTTGGACGCGTCACTACTGCACATATGATAAAGGCAACAATACATTTGCCATGATCAACACTGAATGCAAGTCCACTGGAAAGCAGGTAGCGTATTGATAATAATAGTAAAACTACTTTGGTTATTTATAGCAATTTTCAAAGGAAGGAGATATTCATATTCATTCATAAATTCTAAGCAAAGCTCTAAGAAAAATAATAATATAGCAGTGAAACTTCTAGGAGTTGTCGAGGTGAGATGCCTGCTGTAATACAAAGGTACTTCATGCAGTTGCTTCTAGTGTGGGTGTGAAGAATAAAGACCATTCACGCGGCTTTTAAGCGTCTAACTACAAGGAGAAGTCTACACGACAAGCTGAAAATTGAGAGCAGAGAACTTGTTAACTTTACACAGTGCAAATATGTTCTTCAAAGAAATCCCAAAATAACAAGAAAGCCAGTCCGACCTTAGAAATAACCTTTGCGTGAATATATAGTAGACAGCCTTTATTCCCCTGTCAACACTTTCTTTTACAACAAAATAAAAACAAAGTAAAGTCTTAGTTCTTGTTCTGACCAGCCAACTGTCACAGTTCAGTAATTGCCTGTGTTCACTAAAAAGATCGCTCAGTAAACTTGGCTTAGGCTTCTGCTTTGTTTAGACCAGGGGTGCCCAAACTATTTTACTCAGGGCCAAAATGAGTATGTAGAAGCGGGCTGGGGGCCAAACCTTTTTATGAATATCTTGAGAAGTTAGGCTTCTATGATTGGCCAGAATAGTTTTTTGTGTTGTACTTTTACACCAAAGTATCCATAGTTTTCAAAGTGGAAAGTTTTATTTTGAAGCTCATGTTTTGCATCTATATAAATGTACTGATTTATATTTTGGATTTGACAGAGCATTGCTTTTTATTTTAAAGAATAATATTTTCTAGTAGATTGTTTGGAATACAATGATTTTTGTATTGAAGTAAATGATAGTTAGACTGATAGGGCTTTTAAAATTAACTTTTGCTAATTGTGTTTGGGCTATTCTTTATTTTATAAATAAAAAATTAAAAAAAAGGTATAACATGCCAGGGTAGCTTATAACGTCTGACAATATTTACAGAATTTAACAATGGTTTAGAAATGGTTCGGCGGATCGTAAACACCATAAGCACAAAAGAGAAATTATATATTTTTTATTTCACTTTTTTTCAGAATGGTGTAGTCCCAAACCAGCCAGAAGTGTTCAAGCTCAAGTCCTGTATTCGACGGAAAACTGACTCCATCGACAAACGCTTCTGCTTTGATGTGGAGGTGGTGGAGAGGTCTGTGAAAGTGATTTTTATTTGAACCTTTTTTCAAGTGAAGTAAAGTGTCGGAAACTATTGTCTGAACAACTTTGTGTCCCGAACTGACATTTTGTCCTTTGATGAACTTTTACCCATCTTGTAAATTTGTTCCTAATTGGTCGCAGACATCATTGTTTTAGATCCATCCACGCTAATATCAGGAACTTATGGCACAACCATGTAACTCCGCCCCTACTGTCCGCCCCCACTGTCTCGCTATGACATCAAACAAAAGACATTAGTTTTGACAATCTCTGAAGTGAAATTAAAGTATTTACTATTGCATGGCTATATTTCCAACAGGTAATAAAAAATAAAAAAATAGAAGAACAATCTCCAACCCTCCCCCTAGTGGTAGTAAGGATAATAGGTTGTTAGCAATTTTTACCCATCATACTTGCTTCACCATTTTTTGTACTTAAGATATTGTTTCATTTTCATTCTAAAACATTTAATGACAAAGTAAAAAAGTATCACCAAATGTTTGAATGGCCAGAAATAATGCATACTATTTCGTATTTTAAGTTATTGACCCATATTTACTGAGATCACATCCACAAACAAACGATGTCACGCATTGACAATTGCGTGACAAGTGACATAATAATTCAACCAAAGAAAATAGATTATGTATAACAATATCAGAGTAAGTCATTTTGAGTGATCTGGTTCCTTAACTAAAAGTCCGTCCTGTTCCGTGTCTATGTCTGCATGCCCTCACCTCCCCCCAGCCGCTCCCTGTGGAACATAACATTTACCCCAGTTTTGAACCCTTTTCCATCTTTTGTCTGTGTCCATGTGGCTGTTGTAGAAATGACACCTGTCGTGGAACTCTTTTCAGACCCCTTCAGTTTTTCTGTAAAGTCCGGTATGTGACCAGTGCTGCCTGTGCATGTGCTGCATGTTTGCACCCAATCAACTCAAATTCACGTGATTCAAATTCAAGTGTAGTGAAATGACGACTTCTGCATTGTAATGATTTATTGGAGCAAAGATGTAACCGACTCATCCAAAAGCCCTGTGTAGCGTCAGCATTATAACCAAGGCAATTACTTGTATTGCGCACTTCACACACAAGGAAACTCAAAGTGATTAACAAAACATAGATAATCACAGAACATTTAAAACATCAAATAAACTTTATTGATCTCACAATGGAGAAATGTGCATGTCAAATTTTACATAGATAAAATCACTTAAAAATCAATAAAAAGGTTAAAATATAGTGTCTTTTGTGCCAGATTTATTATCTATAATAAAATTAAAAGTGAGTTTTTCAGTTCTAGTGCAGGTTAAAAGAGTACAATTCTTCACTCCACTCTTTTGGATTAAAAAATTGTCAGAGTAGAAGCCTTTCTCCCATTTTTACAAAGGCTGTACTAGATTTGAGCTGCTGTGTAGAGTGCATAGAGATATATATTCTTTGAGATCAAATAAGCAGGTCCATAAATCCATCTCAATATATAATCAAATCAAATGCTTAAAAGTCAATAGGACGTAAAATCTACTTCATATGCGCATGGATTTGTGTCACTGTCTGAATGAGCTAATCATTGCTGATCCCTGCGTGGGTTTTAATTTTTCAGCTCAATGGATCATAGATAATTGATAGCTATCGCACTTGACTATAAGATCAATTAGACCATCATGGGGCATTAGGTGCATGGCCAAATCTGTGGCGACGCTGCTCTCCCTCCGCTGTGGGTCCCGGTGACCATGAGCGGTAACTGTGCTTTATTTGCAGGACAACTCATTTATCATAAGTGCCGCTGCCCCAAGGTGCTTGTAGCAACCACAAGGACAACCAGGGCCAAGTCGAGGCAGCTTCCAGCCCGGCCATTTATCCTCATTAGAATAAACATGCTCCTCCTGCAGCTAGGACGCAATCAGGCCAGGCATTTGAATTCATCTCCATTCTCATGTATTTTAGCCAAAACTACATATTACTGTAGATTAAAGCATTAGTGTAGCATTAATATCAATACATGGACATCTGGTTTAATCTGGTGTTATTATTCCAATCAAACACTAATGTTAGGAATTCATTATAATGCATGGTCTAAATTTAGAAATATAAGAAAATAACAAAAACACACACAAAATGAATGACTTTGTTTTAAGTAATGACTTAACTAACTTTTCAGGGTCACTTTATTGGCTGCTATCACAATAGATCTGTCACTTTGTAATTTGTAAAGCATGACTTGACATGTTTCTCACAAGCTAACAATTCAGTTTGTTTTGTATTTTTTGGTGGCGCGTTTAAGTAAATCATTGTCACATGATTTATGATGTGCTGAGGACATCTTTCTTGACTGAAATATCCTGAAAACAATAACACTTTTAGTAACTGCAGCTCCAGAAGTTGTGCTATAAACGCCTATTTGCCATTTTTCTTTGGTTTTTAAACTGCTACTTGATTAATACCCCTATGGTCTAATTTGTATCTCATTACGTACTTTCATTTCTTTGAAGAAAGGTTTGGTATAGAATAATCATTCATTGCAGTTCAGCCTGTAGTAACTATCTGCTCTCAGTGGGGCGTAGCCTGCTCCTGCTTCATCAAACAGTGTGGTGTCACATTACTGCTACAGTACATGCTCCTGCAGCGACCTGCTTTACACCATGTAGCACAAACTGAAGTGGATGTAGAGCAGCTATAGGAGCTTGCATGTTGGGTGTGAGGCAACCAATCACTGCTGCTTAACAGAGATGTGGATTTTAGAAAGTGCACAAAGTGGACTGAGGACATAGTTTGAAATTCAGCATTTGCACATGGCTGTTTTAGCGGCACTAGTCCTTTTATAGTGGCTTGAGCCAGTGTAAACAAACGTAGTTGGTCCAAAGGCCCCTGAGGCAGTGAGATCAGACTGAGAGCAGCTTTTCTCTGAATCTCTGCAGGCACGGCATCATGACACTGCAGGCTCTGTCCGAGTCCAACAGAAGACTGTGGCTGGAGGCCATGGATGGCAAGGAGCCGGTGAGAGACCTCACATCTCCTCCTCTCTGACTTGGCTCTTTCAGTAATGTGAGCTTTGTCTGGAATTAAGTGATAGGTGTGTCAACAGCACCCCCTTGTGGTAAATCAAAGGACAGACCCTCCAAACTGCCCCCTGCATTGTCAAGCATAGCCTGCACATATAGGCTGTCACGGCACATAATAGCTAATATGAATAGAAATGATTACTAGATAAGTAATTAGTTTAATTTTTTTTTTTTGGAGCATTTACTCAATTTGTTTGTGGAGTTGTATATATATAACCCTTAAGCTTTACATTTTTATTTATATTGTTACATTTTTGAGAAATATTCATTTTTAAAAAAGTGAATTATTTTAATTATGCATTTCCTTCTACTAATTATCTTTCCTTACCTCCAAATTGATCTCATTTTATTCACTTTCAGATTTACAACCTTCCAGCTATTTTGAGCAAAAAAGAAGAGAGTAAGTATTTAATTTTTAACAGTCTACATTGTGGCATTTACATGGCTTGCCAACATGGTTACATGTAAGTCAGTCTAACAGGCATAGTGCAGCACATGTGCTTCATATTCAATAAATCCGCCTGTAACCTACAGATATTTCATTTCATTAGCACAATTACTTGACATCCACCCACACATCTGACATAGTGTAGCCTTCAGCTCTGGGCTTTTATCTTATTAGTTAAACTACAAGCACCAGGGAGCACTTATTATTTATGCGCAGAAGTGGTTAACCTATTCTATTATTGACATGTCAACCTTGTTCTCTCTTTGTGCTGAAGCATTTCTAAATGAGGCCGGCTTTAACTTTGTGAGAAAATGCATTGACCTGGTAGAGTCAAGAGGTAAGGAATTTAAGATTGACTCTTCTTTGATCTATCATTTGACTTGATTGCTGCCAAGATGTCATTTTGATTAGCATTGTACTTGACTCACCTTGTATAAGTAGTAAATGAGAACATTCTTGTGTTATGTAATGCAGGCCTCAATGCCATGGGGCTGTACAGGATAGGAGGGGTCAACTCCAAGGTGCAGAAGCTGATGTCCACAGTGTTTTGTAAGTATATCAACAATTACTACGTTCAATTAGTACCAAACTTATTTGGAACATCTTAAATGATTAACTAAAGGCTACGGAACTAACAAATAGTATAGTGCTATATGAACAGTAATATAGATATATGAAACAATAAAATGTTGTGGATAAAACTTCAATAATTCTTTTTGTTCCTTTAAAAACATTTCTGAAATGACTTTTTAAGATAAGATAAGTCAAGAGTTCCTTTATTTGTCCCACAGTGGAGAAATGTCGATGTTGCAGCGCACATACAGGAAAGTAGTAAGAGCACACAGAATATACAAAATAAGTAGTAGCTATGTTCCTTAACTAGCTTAACTAGCTGTAGATGCTGTAAATGCTTCAATACCAGTCAAAACATTAATAATAAATAAATATATATATATATATATATATATTTATATACTGTATGTAGTAGTGTGGAGTTATATGTAAACCCTAACTTCAATCGTACTTCAGATATCAAAGTTATTTTGAATAGATTTTTCCCAGTAAGTAAATATTACTCATTTTTGTTAGTTTATTTAAAGCTTGCCAATGTCACTCAGGGTTTTCTTTGAATTGAACTGTTTCTGTTCAAGTAAGCCTCACTTTTGACATTTTGATGTGTAGAATCTTTAATGAGGCAGGTGTGACAATGACAGGGTGGCCTGGTGGCTGAGTGGGTAGCACCATTACCTCTCAACTACAGGGTTCTCAGTATGAATCCCGGTCGGAGCATAAGTAGAAATTTAAACTTTATTGCAATCACTTGAGTTTACTTGGTAATATCAAGTAAGGATGTACTCGAGGATTTCAAGTGAAGTTAATACGCAATTTATTTCCATGGTTTTTTCAAGTAAACTTTACTTGTCAGGGTTTACAGTGTGTACATATAGGACAGGATAATAAGTAGATAAGTAAAGTGACATTGTTTAGTGGACATTCTGAAGTTGTAGTATTGCACATTGCACATGATTTAAGTATTTACTTATTTACAGATGAATAAGATTTACAGGATCAGCAGTTCTCATTGTACAGTCTGACAGCTGCAGGAAGGAAAGACCTACGGAACCTCTCCTTCACACAGCGAGGGTGAATTAGTCTGTCACTGAAACTGCTCTCAAGAGCAGAGAGAGTGTCCTGCAGGGGGTGATAGTCGTGATCCAGAATAGATGTTAGTTTGCTCAGGACCCTCCTGTCCCCCACCTGCTGCACTGTGTCCAGGGAACAGCCCAGGACTGAGCTGGACTTCCTGATGACCTTGTCCAGCTTCTTCCTGTCCCTCTCTGTGATGCTGCTGCTCCAGCAGACCACACCGTACAAGAGGCTGATGCCACCACAGAGTCATAAAAGGTCTTTAGGAGAGGCCCCTGCACTCCAAAAGATATTGATATTCTAATGATTTTTCAGATTTTAAATTCTAAATTAGTTTTGTAATTTTATTTCCTCATGTATGGTTAAGCGTCACATAAAATAATAACAGACAAATAAATCCACATAATATAACTACAGAGTTTTAGTTTTGATTTTGAGTTTTTCAAATTATGTATGTATTTCATTTGGAATTGTATATTGTCCTGGACGTGTCAGTGTGTGTGATGTTATGTTATGAAAGTGTGACAATTATAAATAGCACTCAATAAATAACTCCAAAAGTACATACAGTACGAGTACATTTTGATATTTGGCACTGTAGAACAAAAGGAGCATTGCCAGGCTGGATTTGGTTCAACAAGTTGTCTGTGGGACTTTAATGAATCACTCTATAGTTTCACAACATAAATAGTACCGAACTCAAACTTAATTGAGTCAATATATTTAACACTTCCTGAATAAAGCAGTGTATTACATTATTGTTGTACTGTTTTTGCAGTGTGAATATTCTGTTTGAATGGCACTTGTCTAAAAGGCCAGTATCTGTTTGTGAGGCTGCCAGGTTTAGCAGACTGAATAGATACAATCAGCTGCAGGCAGCTTTATTATTTGTTTATGATCTGTTGATTAAATATGTACACTTTGATGTCTGCACAATACAAAGCATGCTTTTGTTTGAGCTCTTCCCTGTGGTTTGGTCATGAAGCCGCTGGGCTGCCTCTCTCTACTTGACTTTATTAGATCACCACAGATAATCCAGTTTTCTAACACATAACACAATTTTGTAGGAAACGTCACGGTTGACTTATTTGTAGCCCTCCCCAATATGAAAGCAGTTTGAAAGCCGTTCCACACATATACGATTTTTTTCTCTTTTGTCACGTTGCTATGCGTTTAATCTGAATCCTCATCTTCCCTTTAGCATCCAAAGCTGCGGTGGATATGGACCTGGATCCGGAGACGTGGGATAACAAAACCATCACCAGCGGTCTGAAGAATTACCTCAGGTCAGCCTGCCCTACCAGGAATAGTCATTACCTCCTGCATGCCTCCTCTTGGTGTTAGCGGCGTATTGAGAGGATGCTGACTCATGGAGGAGGGCTGCTGTGTTAAAAGTCATATTACTGGAAAAATAAATGGCAAACGTTCTTTTCGCTTCACCAGGTGTCTCTCTGAGCCGTTAATGACCTTCAAACTGCACAAAGATTTCATCATTGCTGCCAGTAAGTGTCAGAAAGTACAGAATCTTGACAAGGTACAATATTTCTGTGCACCGATGTGAATGATGTGCGGTGGAACAGATGTATTTCCAGAAATTGCCTAAAGGGAATGGTTAAAGACTGGCTGGATAAAATCTCAGTTATTATTGTGTTGGAATTGTTGTCACGTTAATGTCTTGATTTATTGCTTCTTTGGAGGTCTAAGAAACTGTAACATAAAATGCAACATTTATGGCAAAAGAAAAACAATATTAGCAATGGTCTCATCAAAGTTCACTTCATAGCAGTAGAAAATAATGAAACAAAGTGAGTAAAGAACAGCGGGCATTCCAATATGTGGTGGTGAAAACGCAGGCGAATTTAAAATGCTCGAGCAAGAAAACAATTATAATAAAGTCACCTTTATTAAACCAGGAAAGTTTCACTGAGATTTGAGAATCTCTTTTTCAGGGGAGTCTTGGTCCAAGAGACACAGGAGCGTTTTAGTGGTAGGTGGAAACCGGAGCACCCAGAGGAAATCTATGCAGTCTGGGGTACATGCGAAATCCACTCGCAAAGATGGAGATTTCATTTTAATTTCTAAAGTATGGAGTTGTGCTATTCCTAATATTCACCTATCTTGTGTTGTGTGCTTCTCATTCCTACTGTTCTGTAAATTGTGATGCAACACTGACATTTCCCCTATGTGGGCTGAATAAGGCAATTCTTAATCTCAATCTTAATGGAAAAATACTTACATCAATGCCTGACCGCCAATGCTCCTCCATTTTGACATACCGAAACTCATGTATTAAAACAAACCTGTTATTACTGTAAAATAATTGTGGCTGATCAGGCCACACACTGAGTATAGAATTAAATCAATTCATGTTCAACATGCAACAAAACTAGCTTGACTACCAAAGCTGCTATTATTAAACACTTCTATGACCACAACTGTCATCCACCTGTAACAAAATGTTTTTGTGTAATTAGTTCATATTTCTACCGCACCCTGATAATCCTTCTAGAATTTCCACTTATCAATTAAAGTAAACGCGCTCTCCTTGAAGTTGCATGCCAGCATTTGTTGTTCTGTGATTAATTCTTTGTCGGTTCGTCTTCCCTCAGAGTCCGATGACCAGAATCAGCGAGTGTGTGCGATCCATGCCCTGGTGCATAAGCTGCCGGGGAGAAACCGGGAAATGCTGGAGCTGCTAATAAAACATCTTGTCACGTACGTGTTGGTGTAATGAATGGCTAACCCTGTGGGCCTATGAGCAGAGATAAAAATGGTTTAGTCTGATTAAAGTGTCCTCACAGTCTGGGGACAGCTTAATGCACTTGTAGCTGTCAGGGCGTGTGGTAAGGAATTACATTTGGACATATCAGCCGTGAACAGGCCCTAATGCTCCACTGCCTTTACAGAGTTTCCACCCAGAGCCAGTTCAACCTGATGACCATGTCCAACCTGGGAGTGGTCTTCGGTCCCACGCTGATGAGGTCACAGGAGGAGACGGTGGCGGCCATGATGAATATTAAGTTCCAGAACATTGTGGTCGAGATCCTCATAGAAAACTACTGCAAGGTAGGACACTAAGCCAGAGATAATAATAACAGGGTTTGACAGGATTTTCTTAGTATCTGATTTGCATTTAATTTTGTATTTAGTGTTTAGAAAGAAAGTTTACACACCCAGATCATTTCTTATCTTCTTTCTCTCGATAATAGTTGCAATATTATGCCAAATAAAGATGTTTTCTATTTTTAAATTATACTGACGACAGAAAATACAATTCCTACCTCCCAAGAAGTCCCCATCCCACAATATATTGCCCCAATATAACTTTTATGGTAGTTGTTAGTTCTTTATCCTCTCTGATGGTAATGCTGTCCATTCTTACTAAAATACCTCCAGCTCCTGTAAACTCCTGGTCAGCCTTACATGAACTGTACTTTTAAATTGTTTTTGTTTTTTAGATAGAATTACATTTGAATATGGATGACATGTTTTTTCGACAATATAGCTCCATACAACCAGTAACTATGACTGAAAAAAAAGAAAGATTTTTGTTATCATTCTGAATCTCCAAAATATGGCCAACAATCTGTGTGTGTGCGTGTGTGTGTGTGTGTGTGTAAACTTAAAGCTATATTTTCAGTCTTATATGAGTGTTAGACATACTGCTCAAATCCTGCCACAAATATTACTATATAACCCAACTGTGTAACAATCAGACAAAGTAGCTTTTTTGTTGCCACCTGAATTTACTTCACACACTTTTTTTTATGAAAGGGAGTAAGCTTCCATGTTCTCAAACCTCCTCCTCCTCCACAATATCATGACTGGCTCCACGGGTCACACGCTGCCAAAGAGTTACTGTGTTGATTTCACTCCTCATATCTGTTGACTAACACGGAAGCTACACACCAAAATATATTGTCTCAGCAAAAACACAAACCAAAACAAGCAAAACAAATGTATGCGGGGGTTTAAGAGAGATTTCAGCTATGAGCAACAAATACCTCGCAGATGCTTCATCGAAAGTCATGTCTTAATACTATTCTTTCATTCCTGTAACTAATCATTCTGTAATCCAAAAAAATGCAAAGTACAAGCTGTTCTTTGCATTGAGAACGTCAAGTAATTCGCTATCTGTTTTTTGATTAATTGCTTATCTCGCAGATATTTGATCAGGCTCCGGACCCTAACGTGCCTCCCCCTCTGAGCTCTCGCCGGACCAGGGCCATGTGTCTGGCCACCAGCACCCGGAAGCCCCGCAGTGTCTACGCCCCAACGCTGTGCCTGGCAGACGCCCAAAGTGAGGACCACAGAGAGAATGACGCATGAGGCTCTATCTACTGATTTGTGACTCGAGAGATTGTCTGGCCAAAAGAAGCATAACAGTGACACATAATCCAGGCATAAAAGAGTTTTGAGATGAACCTGAATAGTCTTACGTTTTCCCTTTTCTCTAATCACAATGAAACTTCACTATTCAATTCAATTTCATTTTATATAGCCCTAAATCACAACAGTAGTAGTAGGCTTGGAGGACTTTACACAATTGTGGATTCGCCAGCAACAGATCAGCGAATCAAAAAGTTAAAACACAGGAAGCCATTGGTCCAGAGGCAGAGGATCAATGTCCAGAAATGTTAATGAAAAAAGAAAAACACAGTATTCATATGAAGTGAAATTTTCTGTAACACATGTGTCCTTGGAAATGTATTGAATTAACTTAATACTTTATCTATCAAATCAGAGAAATAAAGAAAATAGCCTTGGAAAAATCAGTTTATATTGGGGGGGAAAAATGTGCAATGTATTATTTTATATTGGCCACTGTTCACACAACAAACATATAATACAGCTATAAAAATGTGTTAATGGCATCTAGCTTTGAAAGATGATTTATTTTGGTTTCCCTTTGAGGTGAATCATCTATTTTATTGTGGGCGTCCTAAATGCACTACATTGATTCTATTGATTGCTTTCTGAAAAAACAAATTGTGTGTGACGTTATGTTGATATTATGATGTGTATATTAGCAACTATCAAGGTGTGATCTTGCCACAAATGATTGCCAGTGTTTGTCATTAAAGAGGGGATTTTTCTCTTCTATTGACCTGCTAACGTTTAAACTAAAGCAATTATTTTTCCAATGTGAATCGCTTATTTAATCAAAAGCGGATCTATTGATTTCACCATGACAACCAGCAAAATTAGGCTTTATGGCCCAAAGTCTTCAATTGTTAAACAAAACAACAACCAAACCAAAGAGAGTGGTGGAAGGGGAATTTCCGGATTGCTCAAACGTGAACAAAACAGGATTAGACATGCGTGAATGAATGAAAATATGATATACCCTGATTTTATTACCTCATTGTTGCGTTGTTTAGGGCTGGGAATCTCTGAATCCCTCTCAGAACAATATACTACAATGTGGTGTTACTGGGATTATTGATATAATGCTCATACAATCGTCAACAATATGTACACATACACTCTAAACAAAGGGGTTTTTCTTCCATTATTGAGGTTCATTGAACAACATTTTTTATGTGATCAGTAGTGCTTGGATTGAAAGTAATTTTGGTCAATTTAAAGATTTTTAAATTTAATTTTTACATTTAACTATTTCCATTTGGAGTACAATGTTGTTTTTCTGAGCTTTCAAATTAGGTATAACATGTCTTAGTAGCTCGTACTAAGTTGGAAGAATTAATTGGAAGATAATTCATTGAGATCCTGATCATCCTGCTTATCTTTGCTGCACCATAGAAAGTCTGCTTGTGTTTTAAAAGACTGTGTGGTTCGGCAACATCACAGCCAAAGGTTTTCAGCTCTGATTAAAGGACCGTGAGCTGCTAGATCTTTAAATTGAGCTCTGGAAATGATCAACAATCCTTCTGACCACCCTTGAGAAGCCATGTTCCAGCTTCTTCCCTCTGGGGAGAGATATCCATCCTTGAGATGCCGGGCAATTCTTGCCATGAATTATTTCTTTCTACGAGCCGTTAACAGCTAATGGCAAATGAACGGACTTGTAATGTGATTGGGCATTTTCTCCTATTCAATAAAATGGGACTCACCAACAGTAAGAGGTTAAGCAATAAGGTAAAGGTGCACTTTTATTTATATTCCCGAATGGCAATCCATCCTCTGCATTTGGCGCATCCTGATGCCGCTTAGGCTTCCGTCACGAGCAATGGTCGCCGTAGTACTGCGCAATCTCCAGATGTTGATGCTTGGCTTGGTCAGAGCTGGACCTAGTCTGCATGTTTTTAGTGGTAGGAGAAACCGGAGCACCCGAAGGAAACCTACACAGGCACGGGGAGCACATGCAAACTCAACTCAGAAAGACCCTGATCCGACTGGTATTTGAAACCCTGGCCCTTCTTGCTGAGAAGTGGGAGTGCCGTCCTGAATAGAGTAACATATCCATACTTGGAATTAGAATATTGTATTGTTATTGAATACTTGTTTGTGACTGCATGGGGAGGTGTATGCTCCTTCCATCAGATTTTAATGAGAGCCTTTTGTGCCTGTCTCCTGGTCCCTGCATAGGCGACACCTTGAGCAGCAGCTGCAGCAGCACGCCCATGGGCAGCCTGGATTCACTATCGTCACACTCCTCGGAACAGAACAGCTCCTCCAAAACCACCTGTGCCACAAAGAGCCAGGACACGTCTCTGCTGGACCTGCTTCAACTACCCTCCCTAATGCCCAACGGTCCCAACGGTTCCAACGATCCTGGTGGCTCGGAGGCGGTCAGCAGCACCGACTCCAGCTCACGGGAGGACACGGCACGGACCGACGCCGAGTCCGGGGACGCGCTTGGCCTGTCCTCAGTCAGCACCTCCTCACAACTGTTATCTGCCCCCAAAAAGGCCCCACATAGCCACGGCAACCTGAACATGGAGCTACGAAAGCACTTTGCAGATGAAAGTGAGTATCCATGTCAAGGTTTGCTATTTACAGTCGAGGATGTAACCTAACAACAAATGATATGCAATAAAGTCCATTCCCCTGCTTCCACACTCTCAAAGTAGTTTAGTTCTAGCACTAGTTTTCAAAAGCATGTATTTTTGGGTTTCTGACACATCTGTACAGCTTTTTCCAAAACAGAAAAGTGAAAAAGAGTGAACAGAGCCCAAAGCATTGGATAATGAGTCACAAGGCTGACAAGTATGCAGAAGGTGATGATACGAAGACAGCATGGTGTAGACTGATTTGTTCACATTTACTTTTACAAGACTCAAACAAAATGTATTTATGACAAAGTTACTGCATTTTGCAATTTTTTTCAGTTGACCATATCAAATAAAGGTAAAACCAGAAGTTTATAATAATGTGTAAAAATACAACATCAATCAGACAAAAGCTGATCCTGTTTTAGGTCAGTTACCAAAATATGTTCAGAATTATTTGTATTAATTTCTTTTTGAGTGGTTTTAATTGCTGGAATTCTGGCCCATTACTCATGACAGAATTGTTGTAACTAAGCCTGGCTTGTAGGTTGCCTTTATTGTACACACTTTTTCTATGGAAGTGACATCAGGGCTTTGCGATGGGGTCAGCACTACAGTAGATCATATACGGAATCGGGACGGAAGCGGAAGTAAATATAACAAACTACCTATTCATGCCTAAACTTAACCAGCCATTCCCATAAAATAACCCCAACCCACCCTTAACCTAACCTTAACCATCTTACTCAGACACCTTAAACTTAACCAGTCACCATTTAAGGACTTTTTTAGTCAAAAAATATTTTGAAAACAGGAGTGTTACTTCCGGTTTCGTCCCGATTCCGTATATGATCTAGTGCCGATCTTTGCGATGGCGACTCCAAAACATTGACTTTGTTGTTTTTGTTGTTCTTGGCTGTATGTTTGGGGTCACAGTCTATGGTGACAACTCATTTCCACCCAAGGTTTAACTTTAACTGCTGATGTTACTTCAATATTTCCACATACTGTGCAGCAATTTCTCCTGTATCAAACTGAAAATTCCATCTGAACTTTTTATAGTTTTGATTTTGATTTATTGTTTCTGCTTGAATAACCAGGTAATAGACGCTGTTCTGCATCAGTCCCAAGTCTGTCAACACTGGAGTTCAGGGAGAGCCCCAAACTCCCTCATAAAGACGTGATTCGCCGCAGGATTGACTTGTCTGTCAGCAATGGTTACCAAAGACCAGCCTCAATGTAAATACCAAACTACACAATGCAAATGCGCACAAATGTTCATGGCATGGGTCATAGTAATGCACTATTGAGTCAGTAAATAAAACACCATGCAAATCAGGAGATGGTTTTTATCTTCTGATTTGCAAGCACAATGGGCCTCATTCACCAATATTTTCTTAAAAATCTTCCTAAATTTCTTCTCAAGTCGTTCTTAAGTAGATTTCTAAGAAGACCCTACGTGGGATTCATCAACGCGCTCTTATACCGCTGAATTGTTCGCGCGTGCCAGGTGATTAGTTAGCATAGGTAACCGCCCATTAATGCCCATAAAAGGGACTGCAGGGCCGTGTGCAGACGCCAGAGGAAACGGCAACAGGCCTAAAGCAAAGAGTTACACGAAGCAAAAGATTCGCCCTTCTTTCGTCTTTTGTCAGACTGAGATTAAAGTCATAGAATGTTGACTTTAAAGTCGAAATATTATGAGAATAAAGTCGAACTTGCAAAACGAATTAATTAGTTTTGCAATTAATCTAAAATTGTTATGAGATTAATTTAAATATATTATGTACTACTTTAAATATTAATCTCAAAATATTATGAGATTAATCTCAAAATATTTCGGACCCTGGGAGGAGATCCAGCGCGGACCAGCGCCGATACCAATGCAGACCCGAGGAGAGACATAGACTGAAGAGACCATAGACTGGAGAGACCAGCGCAGATCCGTAATAGATCCATGGGAGAGACCGGTGCGGAGACTCAGCGCGGACCCCGAAAACTCCTGCAGCAGCACTATATACAGTATGCCATTGTTTTGTGGCCCGTGGATGGGGAAATTTACCCTAGGATGGAGTCACTAATACACGGAATGATTTCCAATGTTGGCACATTGAATGAATTAAAAAATAGGCTAAATTACCACAGAAAATGAAATTAATAAATACATACATCAATAGGACGTATCACTGTAATGTCGTATTTCATTGAACTTCACAACACCAGCGTGCCAACATGTTGGCACTGAATGTGTTTAAGAGTACTACTTACCCAAAAGAAATTCTGGATACGAGAAAAATAAATGAATGCCGCAATCTTCGTAAAATCTCCGTAAGTAGGATTTACGCACAAATTTGTTCCTAAGAACGGTTCGTGAATGAGGCCCATTGTCCACAACCTCAAGAAAACCATTTAGAAAAGTAAATCAGGTATACAGAGTTAAATACTAGGGTTGCCAGTGTCAGACGTTAAGATTTCAATGTATTATTTAACAGTTTTAGTAACCTTGTAACAGTAGTCACGTACTGGATGGACTGGATCTACAGTTCCGTCCATTTCTCTCTCTCAGCTCAGAGGTTTCTCACCTTTTACCACTTGGTTTTAGAGTTTTTCCTTGTCTGTTGGACTCTTGTCTGGGTCTAACTAAAAGGACAGTGATGATGATCCTGGACACTCTACATTCAACAACATCTGTAGACATTGGTCATCTGTCCCTTATGGATCAATGGCTCTACATGTATGTTTTTATCATTGCATTTTATGTGATCTGTTTGATTTGCTGATCTGTGTGGGCAAATTCAATGGTTTTGTTAAGTCCTCTGATATACTGTAGCTGCTGTTGTGATTTAGGGCTATTCAAGAATAGATTGAATTGAATTGAATGTCTTAGTTGAATATATAAGAATTCACTTCCGAGGAGCCTTAGTCAAGTCACCAGTCCCTGTGGACATGGTCTCCCTCTGTCTGCTTATGGGCAGCGTAAAGAGCAGTTAGGTTTTGGAGAAGTATGTGCACCCAGATTGATGTCTTTTCCTCTGCAGTGGGAGCTGGTTTTAATTACACTCTGCCTTCTGCTGGGTTGAAGTGACCCAAAAGCAGCCTGCACAAGCTCTCATGGGACAAATAGATTGTTTGACTTGTCATGTCTCAGAAGCAAACTCGCAGTTTCTCAAGTGGTTCTGTGTATAACTCCACGCGCTCTGCCTCAGGTTGTTGTGCCCAGGGTCAAGTGGCGCCTTGTTACACTTTTACTCTGAGCTTTGGCCCAGTCACTGCGGCTGCTGCTGCAGGAAGTCTCCCACTCTGTTGTCATGTTTGACTTTCTTGAAACAAAAGAGAGTGTGTCAGAGCCATTCACAAGTTCCAATCTTTAAAACATCTCAAATAATTTGGATTCCAGTCCAGCGAGCAGAAAGCCTTTAATCGTGACTGGCTCTACCACTTTTATCAAGGCCATAAAACCTATTAAACCAAGTTGTGTATTACAATGGAGCTAAGTAAACTGAAGGATGAAAAGTAGTAATTGTATTTTTTTTTTCTCATTTAAACCTAATATTCTTTCTGTATGTTTACTTTTATGTGGCAACTGTAACTCGCACAATGTGTACGTTACAGTTGTAAATTGATTGAAAAAAATTGGTGATTCAATTTGATTTTTATTTGTATTTATTTTTTCAGTGTTGCTGCTCGTGCATTACTTTTTGAATGTTCCACTTCCTCTCAACCTGGCCCAGCTGGACGGTAATGTCGTAAAATAAATTATGTAAGATAAATGAACATTTCTAAGATATTGAGATTTGATGTTGTTGCTTCAGAGAGGCCACCGCAGTGTATTCATGTGAGGCTGAGCACAGCCACGAGCTGAGCTTCCCTCAAGGCGCACACTTCTCAAACGGTGAGTCAAATCAAACTGATCAAAGCATTTTCACTATAGGACTGTCCTGCACTTTGCTCAAATGATTACATTGTATTCACATGTTACTATTACTATTTGTATCATTTTTATTTTTCTCTTAAGTTGAGAAAGTTTTCTAGTTGCATTTTTTCTTAATCTTGGCAAACAATCTGCACAGCAGGTCACTGTAACCTTGTGATAGAAGGTGCTGGTGCCTGTTGCAGATTAACCCAGACAGAAAAGCCAGCCGTGTCCAAGACAAAGAATCATTTTATATTTTATACTATACCTGCTGTAATTCAACAAAGGCATTCATAAAAATATTATTTTATTCAGACTCCATTTCAAGGCTTTTGCTTTCAGTCATTAGGACCATTAAGAAGTAATAATGTTTAATGATGCTGTTTATGATCAGAAGTCTTGTTCTTATTGTCATATTTTTATATGTTGTTTCCTTTCTATAGTCTATCCTTCTGTTGAACCTGGCTGGCTCCAAGCGACATACGAGGGAAAAACAGGTTTAATCCCAGAGAATTATGTCGTCTTCCTCTGACACTGTGGTAAACATTAAATATCATATTTCATGGTATCCATGGAAAAGACCAGCGATGTGTTCTTGCTTTGTTGTCATGTTGTTCTGATGTAAAAACAGCTGTTTTATGTTGTAAATAATAATGTGTCGTATCTGTTCTGTTGAAACCATTCACAAATATCACATGCTTCTTGACATGTTTTATTTTTTTTATATGAAATATGAATGTTATATATTTAAGACACATATTAATAGAAAGTTGGTGGTAATTCTGTATGCACATTAATCAAACTGTGTTTGTCTTAAATACCCTAAATATATGTTCACTGCTGTGTTGCACACAATACTGTATGGCGTAAAGGTACAGTATCTTTCTGTATTGATACTTTTTTATTGAAGACTATGGTGGATAAAGTTTCTCTCCATAAGGACTTTGCTTGTACTGTGTCAGTGGTGTGGCCACTGGCACACTGCTGTACAAGAAACTAACATGAGCAATATTATGTTCATCACAACTTTTAGGATTTCAACAACTGTAATTTATTTTGTAAAAGTTACATTTATAAAGTGACTTCTAAATAAGACAGAAGCAGACATGTGGGTAAGCTCACGATGTGGCTTATGCCAAGATCACAGTGTTCTTTTCCATTTACATACATTGGAGTGAGGCGTCCTTGAATAGACATCCGAGAACACTCCCTGACTGACCGAAACTGTGCGAGTTCATTCTCCAAATATTGACGATAATAACTCAAAATGTTATTGTGTTTGTGTATTTTCATCTACTGTACTGTGCCATGAGCTCAAAATAAAACATTTAAAACTTGACTGCGCCCATAAACCCCATGTGTTAAAAGTACTAATTACCCCGGACTAGAACGTACTCTAATAAAAGTGAGCTGTTGTTAAGGCAAGGGTGTGTGTTTATTCAATAAATATTCCATAATTACACAACAAGTTAACTCCTTTGTGAAAATTGTCACGGCCCCTTTTCCTCTGAATCAAATATCGGTTGTTGTCTTATTAGCAGGTGCTACCAAGTGCAATGGCAAGTTTGAACAAGTTAGAAGAGCGTCTCTTGTCAAATTACGTTTTTAATATATTTGTAGCTTACACAGGATTTGGGCAACATAAACTCTTGAGGCAAAACGGCAGAAATAAGTCTCCAGTATATTTGGGTGGGGGGGGGGGATTTAGCTCCAGTCCGTGGCCATAGTGCTGGGGACATTCACTTGGTGTGGAACAGCAGTGGCCTCACCATACCAGCCAGCACCTTGGGCAGCTGTGAGGATATGACCTCTGACATCATCTCGGGGAACTCCACCCTCATGGCGTCGGCCTGGATAAACGTACTCAGACAGTACAAGTTGACCTTCTTCACTATCTGCGTACACAAAACACACTCCAGTTACAGACCAAATGTAGGAGTCGCCCAAGTCTATGAAATGATAAATAGTCTGGGAGCTTACATCGTGCATGGCATCCATTAGTTTGGTCAAGTGGTAAAATCTTTGCGAACTCGCCACGACGCCTTTCTCCTTCATGTGGATGGCTTTGCTCAGCTCTCGTATGTAGTTCTGCCTCATCTCTTCGAACACTGCCTGGCTCTTGAGTCCTTCTAGAGGCACTGAAGACATCATTGACAGTAGTGTTATAATCATACAGCACAAGACACTGTTTGCTTTTGTTGGTTTTATGATATAAAAAATTCATTGCACCCTTGCTTTTTGCTCACACGAACATGCAATCGTTTTTGTATCCAATTATGTGGATTAGTGTTGTTGGTTTTGGAAACATTGTCATTCTCTGGTTTCATTACTAATTGCATGTACACTACATGGTTTCACATTCTCAGAGTGAAATGAGCTCTGGCCTCAGGGCAATACTAATTATGAGGATTTCGCATCATACTGTTTGATCTAAACTACTACTGTACGTAATGATTGATCTTGTTCTTGTCAAATTGACTGCAGTATGTTACACAATCGTCAAGAACTGTCGTTTTATTTTATCATTCCAAGGGAGACATTGATTTTCAAGCTCATTTTGCTCATTGGCAAATCTTGTTTTAAGGCAGTCCGAATGTGCTCAAATTAAGATACATTTGCCAAATTTGATAATCTTTTGACTTATTTGTTATCATTTTTTGCAGTGAACACACACTTTATAGACTTGTGCTGGATAGAGTTACCAGCTTGATCCGCATTTACTTTGTTTATTAAGTAGATATAAATAGCTGGTGGGAGTGATATAAATATCAGGTTGATATCAGGCACATTGTGAGAGCAGATTACAAGTGCTACATAAATCCTTCAAGGTTCTGGTAAAAATTCAGGAAATCATTCCCTATAGCTCTGCAGTGGCTCTGCATCAAAGCACCTCTTCTACTCTATGAACTGTGGAAAGTTCAGACGTGAAACATTGTGTTCTCATTAATGGTATTTTTTACCTGTGTTGAGGAGGATAATGGCTTTCATGCAGAGAAACTCTTCTCGAGTGACCTGAAGATTAGCAAACTCCTGAGGAATGAACTGGATTGCCAGACAGAGGTCATAGATGGGTGATTTCCTCATCTGCTCTCTGAAAAACAAATACGGGATACTTTTCTAAAGCCTGAAACTGCAATAGTGTTCAGAGATGTGTGTCAGCTCGCAAACATTTTATAAATACATTTAAATCAACAATAAAATGTACTTTGTGCATTACTCTCTACAAAGATTCTCACATGATTTGGGAATAACCTGGAAGTCACTTTTTCAACGCTGGGAAATAATTGTCAACAGTCTATTGTTAAATTCCCAGTTCTCAGCTCGTCACACTCATAAAATAACTTCAACCTGGAGAGACTACAAGAGACGAGATGCGTTTAAGAGTTGTTTATTTTATGATTGAGTTTGTTTATTGGTTTGGAGCTTAGGCCCCGGCTGTGGCCGTGCTCTGAAGAGATCTGCGCCTGGGTGCAGATCATGATCCCCAAAAAGAGAGCTTGGCTAGCGATGCGTTTGCCATGACTTGGTTGCTGCGTTTATGGAAGGCGCATGGTGTGAGTGACTGTTTCCGTGCGCGAGCTCGGCTCTAGCGCTAGGCGTTGGCACGCGCACGAGCTCGGCTCAAGTGCGCGGCGTAATGTCCGTGCGCGAGCTTGGCTCTAGCGCTAGGCGTTGGCACGCGCACGAGCTCGGCTCAAGTGCGCGGCGTAATGTCCGGGCGCGAGCTCAGCTCTAGCGCTAGGCGTTGGCACGCGCACAAGCTCGGCTCAAGTGCGCGGCGTAATGTCCGTGCGCGAGCTCGGCTCTAGCGCTAGGCGTTGGCACGCGCTCGGCTCAAGTGCGCGGCGTAATGTCCTTGCGCGAGCTCGGCTCTAGCGCTAGGCGTTGGCACGCGCACGAGCTCGGCTCAAGTGCGCGGCGTAATGTCCGTGCGCGAGCTTGGCTCTAGCGCTAGGCGTTGGCACGCGCACGAGCTCGGCTCAAGTGCGCGGCGTAATGTCCGGGCGCGAGCTCAGCTCTAGCGCTAGGCGTTGGCACGCGCTCGGCTCAAGTGCGCGGCGTAATGTCCGTGCGCGAGCTCGGCTCTAGCGCTAGGCGTTGGCACGCGCTCGGCTCAAGTGCGCGGCGTAATGTCCGTGCGCGAGCTCGGCTCTAGCGCTAGGCGTTGGCACGCGCACGAGCTCGGCTCAAGTGCGCGGCGTAATGTCCGGGCGCGAGCTCAGCTCTAGCGCTAGGCGTTGGCACGCGCACAAGCTCGGCTCAAGTGCGCGGCGTAATGTCCGTGCGCGAGCTCGGCTCTAGCGCTAGGCGTTGGCACGCGCTCGGCTCAAGTGCGCGGCGTAATGTCCGTGCGCGAGCTCGGCTCTAGCGCTAGGCGTTGGCACGCGCATGAGCTCGGCTCAAGTGCGCGGCGTAATGTCCGGGCGCGAGCTCAGCTCTAGCGCTAGGCGTTGGCACGCGCACGAGCTCGGCTCAAGTGCGCGGCGTAATGTCCGTGCGCGAGCTCGGCTCTAGCGCTAGGCGTTGGCACGCGCACGAGCTCGGCTCGAGTGCGCGGCATGCTGGAAATGAGGAGTTGCCACCACCAGGAGATGCATACGTACTTATATGAGAGGAGGCGCTGGGCTGCCAGAACGGATGAATGTGGTAGAGAACCGGGGACCGAGCTCCTGGAGAGATGATTGAGGGAGTCCCAGGGCAGCAGCCCAAGTGCCTGCTCTTATCCGGAAGGAGTGGCGGGTGTAGAGAAAGGAAGAGAGGTTATATGCAGGGAGCAGAGGTTTTGAATTTGTTCAGACCAGGGGGTCGTCGAGGGATTGTTTAAGGAGTAATTATAGTCTATGAATGTTGATAAAATGTCCATAGATGTTGTAGAATGTTAAAGTATCCTGGATCATCACCACGGGCCTTCTAGTTGGACACTAACTGTCCAGACCCTCCTGCATGGCAAGGAAAACTCACAAAACCCCGTGGGGAAAAAAGTGAGAAACCTTCGGAAGACCCTACATAGAGAGAGGGAATCCACTCCACGGACAGACAGGCTAGTCGTCCAGGACCTAAACTACAGAACAAGGACCATTGCCAATACTCCTTTAAGGATCTTCTTATGAGGGTGGAGCAGTGTGACTCGAAGTGGATTTTAGAGAATGTATTTAATGCCGATGTAGATGAGGCAGTGACGGCAGTACCCGCGATGCTGATGTCCAGAGACTGAAAGTGTGCAGTGAGAGGGAAAGGAGAATGCTGAATGAAGGATGAACTGCTGGTGTTTAGAGCGCTGATATTCGAACATGATTCCACTTGGGGAGACTAGAAGGTGAAAATGAGATTCATGAAGTACACTTACCCAGGAAGATTGATGTTCGATAGGAGATCTCTGGACCCCCAAAAACCAACGCACGAGGGCCCGGTCAGAATGAGGGCCAGGGTGCGTCAGGTAAGGCGAAGCGTGAGACAGGCCCGGCGGCAGGAGCCGCACCAGGAGACCAGGAGAGAATATGCCTGGGGAACATGAGAAGGAGCACCGCCTACAGCCACTCAGAGTGCACGCAAACCGTGGCGGGCAGTGCTGCACACCAAAAGCCAATGAGTGCGGCCTGGGGAAGATAGCCGGCCAGGTTTGAAGGCCACGCCGAACAGTACTCATGCAGTCTTAGCAGGCCAGCGTTGCAGCAGGCCACCGTCGCGGCGTTGTAGCAGAGCTTTGGTGCGGCGTTGCGGCATCGCGTTCCTGCGAAGCTGAAAAGAGAAACCTCGAACCACTATCACTCGAGTGAAAAGGACCAACGGGCAGTGTCAGACCACGTCTTCAGTCAGACCACTGACCTGATCCTTCGATGCCGGCTCTTCCCGTCATTGTGAAGCAGAACTCTCCTAGCGTTGGATTGTTCACCCACCAATAGGGAACGCGAGTCCATGGTCGACACTGGTTCCACGATGAATGGATGAGAGCACACGAATGCGTCGAAGCATGAGGTCGAGAATGCGGCAGGAGGCGGACACCTACGTGGAAGCGTGTGCGCCGACCGACGTACGGCGATGAAGCGTGCGGCCACCGACGTGTGCTGCGATGAAGCGTGCTGCGTCAAAGCGTGCGGCGTCGTTGAAGCGTGCTGCGTCAAAGCGTGCGGCGTCGTTGAAGCGTGCTGCGTCAAAGCGTGCGGCGTCGTTGAAGCGTGCTGCCTCAAAGCGTGCTGCCTCAAAGCGTACGCCGTCGTTGAAGCGTGTGCCGTCGTTGAAGCGTGCTGCATCAAGGCGTGCAGCGTCGTTGAGGCGTCCAAGCGAGCGGCGTCCAAGGGAGCGACGTCCAAGGGAGCGGCGTCCAAGCGAGCGGCGTCCAAGCGAGCGGCGTCCAAGCGAGCGGCGTCCAAGCGAGCGGCGTCCAAGCGAGCGGCGTCGTTGATGCATGCGGCGTCGTCAAGGCGTGCTGCGGCAAGGCATGCGCCGGCGTCAAGGCGTGCGCCGGCGTCAAGGCGTGTGGCGTCAAGGCGTGCGGCGTCGTTGATGCGTGCACCATCGTTGATGCGTGCTGCGTCAAAGCGTGCTGCGTCAAAGCGTGCTGCGTCAAAGCGTGCGCCATCGTTGAAGCGTGCTGCGTCAAAGCGTGCTGCGGCGTAGCGTGCGGCGTTGTTGAGGCGTCAAGGCGTGCCACGTCAAGGCGTGCGCCGCCCAAGCGAGCGCCTTCGTTGATGCGTGCGCCGTCGTCGATGCGTGCGCCGTCGTCGATGCGTGCGCCGGAGTCGATGCGTGCGCCGGAGTCGATGCGTGCGCCGGAGTCGATGCGTGCGCCGGAGTCGATGCGTGCGCCGGAGTCGATGCGTGCGCCGGAGTCGATGCGTGCGCCGGAGTCGATGCGTGCGCCGGAGTCGAAGCGTGGAGGAGGAGTCGAAGCGTGGAGGAGGAGTCGAAGCGTGGAGGAGGAGTCGAAGCGTGGTCGAAGCGTGCGGCCACCGAAGTGGCGTCGTCGAAACGTGCGGCCACCGAAGTGTCGTCGGCGAAGCGTGTGGGCGTTGAAGTGTGCGGCCACCGACGTGTGCTGCGATGAAGCGTGCTGCGTCAAAGCGTACGCCGTCGTTGAAGCGTGCGCCGTCGTTAAAGCGTGCCGCATCAAGGCGTGCAGCGTCGTTGAGGCGTCAAGGCGTGCGGCGTCAAGGCGTGCGGCGTCAAGGCGTGCGGCGTCAAGGCGTGCGGCGTCCAAGCGAGCGGCGTCCAAGCGAGCGGCGTCCAAGCGAGCGGCGTCCAAGCGAGCGGCGTCCAAGCGAGCGGCGTCCAAGCGAGCGGCGTCGTTGATGCATGCGGCGTCGTCAAGGCGTGCTGCGGCAAGGCGTGCGCCGGCGTCAAGGCGTGCGCCGGCGTCAAGGCGTGTGGCGTCAAGCCGTGCGGCGTCGTTGATGCGTGCACCATCGTTGATGCGTGCTGCGTCAAAGCGTGCTGCGTCAAAGCGTGCGCCATCGTTGAAGCGTGCTGAGTCAAAGCGTGCTGAGTCAAAGCGTGCGGCGTTGTTGAGGCGTCAAGGCGTGCCGCGTCAAGGCGTGCGCCGCACAAGCGAGCGCCTTCGTTGATGTGTGCGCCGTCGTCGATGCGTGCGCCGTCGTCGATGCGTGCGCCGTCGTCGATGCGTGCGCCTTCGTTGATGCGTGCGCCGTCGTCGATGCGTGCGCCGTCGTCGATGCGTGCGCCGTTGTCGATGCGTGCGCCGGAGTCGAAGCGTGCGCCGGAGTCGAAGCGTGGAGGAGGAGTCGAAGCGTGGAGGAGGAGTCGAAGCGTGGAGGAGGAGTCGAAGCGTGGCGTCGTCGAAGCGTCGTCGAAGCGTGGCGTCGTCGAAGCGTCGTCGAAGCGTGGCGTCGTCGAAGCGTCGTCGAAGCGTGCGGCCACCGAAGTGGCGTCGTCGAAACGTGCGGCCACCGAAGTGGCGTCGGCGAAGCGTGTGGCCGTTGAAGTGTGCGGCCACCGACGTGTGCTGCGATGAAGCGTTGAAGTGAGGCCGTTGAAGCATGCCTGAAGGCCAACGCACTGGTTAAAACGAACAGTACAGAGGGGCTCGGCCGCGCTCCGACCAATCAGAGCAGCTCATCAGACACGGACAGCCGGGAGGCAATGCAGTGGGCAAAACTTACAGTCCACGGTCAAATAGACAGCGCAAAGGCCAATGCAGACGACAAATGTTATAGTCCATGGTTACAACTGACAGCCTGAAGGTCAATGCAGTGGGTAAAATGTTCAGACCATAGTCAAACGGACAGCCTGGAGGTCACTGCATTGTGTAGAATGTTCATCCCATGAGTAAAACGGACAGCCTGAAGGCCAATACAGTGGTTAAGATGTGCGGTCCATGGTGAAAACGGACGGTCTAAATGCCAATGCAGATGGTAAAACGAACAGCCTGCAGAGCAATGCAGCGGGTAAAAACACAGCCTGCGAGCCAATTCGGCGGGATTAACTGACACGCCGCAGTTCAGTACAGTTCATGGTAGTGCGGAAAACAACAAAACCGACACTGTACCGTGAGTGGAGGCAGGGAGAAGGGTGGACAGAGGCAGCAGACAACGGCAGGCAGACAGAAGTCCCGTTCCCGGTATGGAAGCGGCAGGGTGCGCGGAGTAACGCCTGGCCGCGAGCAGCAGCGGCCACGGAGAGATGAGCGGCAGCGAGTCCGCAGGAGAGGACCCGCGGTGGAGACACAGCGACCATGGCGCGCAGCCCCCAACATGTGATGTGGAAGAGGAGCCGCGACCATGCAGGACGAACAATGTGCGAGGCGTGAGTAACAAAGTGATGAAGAGCAACCCATTGCAGCTTGAAGTCCGTTTGGTGAGCTGTGCTCTGCTTTGCTCTTAAACGCTGGCTTGATTGACACGGCTGCGGGGAGTTGATTAAGACAGGCTGAGTAAGGCGTGGTCAAGCCTGGTGTGATAACGTAGGTAGTCTACCATACTGAACCTCCGCTTAAGCTCCATTTGTCTCGGCTTGCACAACACAATGCACTGGAGGCTTTTTGATTATAATCATTAGGAACATGAATTAACATCTACAGTTTAAACATGGCAGATTATACCAAACTGCTAGTTTTCATCGGTTGAAGTTGTTACACCAAAAGAGCAAGAGCGAGACGTAAATAAATTAAGACACATTAGAATTAAACTGGAAAAACATGCTTCTGTGCAGCTGGGAAAAATATTATTATCTCATTGATAAAATACCCCTCCCTCACTGTCTCACCACCAATGGGCCATGTCATTCATTGAGATTGTTGGTTTAGAAATGTCTCTTGTACATACAGTACATAATGTGAAAGATCGATCAACCTCTAAAATATCATTAGCAATTCGTCAATTATTAGTGTTCATTTTTTATTCTTATATGATTACTATTATTATTTTATTATTGTGTTGTGGGTAATAAAAAACAGATAAATAGCAATTAAGAAAATAACAATCACTTACTGACTGAGAATAAGGTCAGGAGCAAAGTACAAGTATTCACTGGTGACGTTCTGAAAGGTGCGCCAGCCCAGAGAGAACACCATCAGGTTCATCCATGAATACTGGATCAGGGTCATCTGGTCGTTGATATGCAGATTACGGAATCCTGGGAAGAAAAAAAAAAATATTAAACCAATAACAAATTAGCAGCCATGAGCTTGTAAAAGAAGAGCCTTTGAAATGTAATGTGTTTAGAGCTATGATTTGTTACTGTCATTAAAACTGCCAACTTTTATGGTGGTAATTCAGTGGCTCTAAACTGCCACGCCGAGATCCAAATAAGGACTGGATTTAGTACACAAATAATGTAAAAAGTGACTTCATATTTTTGCTAATTATTGTTTCATAAGCATTGAATGATACTTATTCAATACTTATTCAATGCTTATTCAGACACGCAAACTCCAGCGGACTCTGGAATCAAGGAAATGTTGGAAAAAATAATAATTATCTTAATCTTGAAAAAAAAAAAATCTTTGAGGTAACTTCAAAAATTTTCAGAAATTATACAAGAGATAGACAAATACGAAGGGAAATGTTTGTTAGAAGCCATGTCACTGCTTAAAAAGTAATAATTCAGAAGCTCATATAAGAATTCCTCTACTCTGGTGCGTAAAGGGTTAAGTAAATAATATCAAGAAGTTTTAGATTTTTGCTGAACAAGTCTTTATCTACTTTTCTCTAGATTTAAATTTTTGTCTTACAATAATTAAATTTAAAGTAAAACTTGTATTGCGGACACATGTCTTATCATTATTATAAAAAAATCAAATGAATAGTGTATAAAAACAGATAAGTGCCATGGAAACATATCGGAAAAGCTTGCAATTTTATCTTTACCAAGTAGTTTTGTCAGAAGCCAGATCTATTTTAGTGCCATACAAATGCGCAAATTCCTTCAAGTGGACTGCCATTAACAGAACATGTTGAATATTGTAACTAGAGGAATACATTATTTGGACTAATCTGTTTTTGCACATGAACTCTTCAAATGCCACTTTATCAAGAATAATTTACTTCTTTACTTAATAATGTAGGAAAGGGTTAGGGTTAAAATCTAAAAAAAACAATTCCTCGACCCGCTAGTTGAGAAACACTGGCGTAATCTATGTAGAAAATGCTTTGTTCATGCAGACTCGCTACATCCTGTCCGCCCGTTACCATAGATATGACAAAAGTGACCTAGCACACGCTGTCACCTGGCAGAGACTTGGACCATTTGACGATCCACAGCAGCTGCTTCTCACACAGACGGTTCAGACTGTTGAGCAGGATGTGCGGGACATCGGGCTGGGAGTTGTCGAATCCAGAATACACCGTCTCCGGCTCGATGTTCTCCAGGATGTTGAGGATCTGATGGGACAGCTGGATGTTGCGGATACCAGGGAGACCCGCCATGGCGCCCAGGGCCTGGTTCTCCCCTCCGGGCAAGACCAACTGGGACTGAAACATGAGGGAGTGGGGCAGACTCAAACCCTTCAAGGCCCCAAAACGTTTCAGCTTTCGACCTACGACACAACACGAGACAAGGCCAAGTGAGAAATTATAAAAAAGATAAGACAATATGTACCTTTAATACATTACCAATCTTAAAAGTTTTGTAATCCAAACCAAGCACATTAACATCATAGTGGAGAAAAGCTAAACAATCCTTGTACAGTAGCTACAGTTACTGTCAAAATTCAAACTTTTATTCCTAGTTTATTGTGAATTTCCGACATGAAACAAAAACTATTTCGCATATTTTTTTGTCAGTACATATCAACTATGGTTTAATCATTTTCTCATAAAGTTGGCTGGAAGTGGTGACAATCTTCAAAACACTTTATGCACTATGTTGGAAAATACAAAGGACTTCCAGACATAAGAATAATATTGTCATTCTCTAAAATATAACTAGCTTTAGCTTAAAGAAGCTAATCTAAAATCTCCAGCTTTAATATAATGTGAAAAGAACTAAGCTTATTGTGATGATTGGTGAATATTAAGGAGAATGACTGCAGTAGACGTAGCCTGGCCTTAGCCATTCGTGCACTCCGCCCAATTATAATGTCCTTGCATGTAACGTCTGGATCTGGTCCCTGTGTTAGCGATTACAATCGGTTGAATTCCATCCGACCAATCAGCGAGCGCGGGAGGCGGGTGTTGTAGTTAGTTGTGGGTGACGTCTAGAGTTTGCATCGAACGGGCAGGTTGTAGTTTGGCAACGGAGCTCAATGGAGCACCTCCAGACCTTAGTACGAAATTTAATTTGTACTATGGTGTGGTACGACCAGGCTATACTAGACGGATTCAATGGATAAAAAATAACACAAAATTTACCTGGGAAAACATTTCCCTTATCAACATTCATTTCAAAAATTGCCTTTATCCCTTTGAGTTGTATTGGTGACTGCTTCCCAAATCATCAAAATGGAATTCTAGAGCATGAATGCAATCTATGAACAAAAGTTAACCCCAACAAAGTAAAGCTGGCTGTTTTTTTCCCCCACATTCTGCCAAAAAATACCTCCGAGCATCATCCCAGCCTGGTAGCACTTTCTCAGACGGCATGCTGGGCAATTTTTCCTCCTTATTTTATCCACAATACAGTCATTTCGCCCGGCACACAAATAGCTGTGATGACCTGGAGAGTAAAAAGAGGGGATTTCACATATGTAGCAGATGAGAACCATTTAATGAAGACAGGAAAAAGGCCTTATAGAGTACTTATTTCTTATTTGCTTTCAGGCGCGAGTGGTGCAAAGAGGAGGGTGAGATAGAAGCAAGGCTGTGAGGACAGAATGACTCTTCTATATCAGCCTCGTGAGATAACAAGCAAAACAAGTCAAAGATGGAGAACAGCGGGAACACTGGTCAATGCGATACTGATGCTATTGACCTTAAGCGACTGTCATAGAAGGTCACGCGACATCCCCACGTTAAAACGGCCGTTCAGAAGAAATAAACAGTAAAAAATACAGTAAATACATGTTGACGCAGCCATGCTCACCTTCCACGGCTCTCTTGAAGAACACTTTGCAGCTACCACAGGTTAACACGCCATAGTGACAGCCTGACGCCTCATCGCCACAAATCACACACTGTCTCTGAGGAGGCATGCTACAAAAAAAAAACAAAGTCCACCATTTATTTTTCTTGTGACCGATTCAGCAAAATGGGGGGGAAGCACTCAAGTATTCAATTTCCTGAGGATCAAGAAGAATGAGAATACATCAACTTCTGAAAACGTCTATTCTCCGTTGTTTTGCCAGCAGAAGTTGTGTAGGCCTACTTATTTTGGTATTATTATTATTTATGTATTAATTTAGACTTTGTTAAAGACACAAGTTGAAGTGCAGGTACATGATCCATAGCTATTACGATAAAGAAAGATAATATTATAAAAGGGCAGTGTAAAGAATAAACTGTAATATTCATATACAATTTCATCTAAATCTAATCACTTCAAAGCATTCTTAATGTGTATTTACAGCTGTATACTGCAGATTCCTTTGGGCACTGCAACTGACATTTTCTTCTTGTGAATGATTAGGTAATCATATCTATTACAATTGTCATGAGGTACAAAGGAATCAGAATGTGTACAAACCATTAAGTGAATTAATCAAAATTAGATGATTGATTGATGTTACACATGTGACCCAGAGAACACCTCCAGTCATTAAAGTTCAGTGAGTTCAAACAATATTTATTGATCTATTGATCCGAATTAACTCTTTAGGCACTTAAGGGTAGAATGGCCCACAAACGTTTCCCTATGTGTTTACCTCCGTCCTGTAGGTAAAGTGATCACCTGAGTTTGCCTGTTTGTTTGTCCATCTGTCTGTGAGCAACATCACTCAAAAAGTTAATATAGGGTTTGGGTGAAAGTGAGCAACTTATTCAATTTTAGAGGTTGTTTTTTATTTACTTACTGTTACTGATTGGAGCAGTCCTCTGTCTCCTATAAAGTTTCAGGACTCCACCATTTGTTTGTTTCAAGCGCCTAAAGAGTTACTGTTTGGGGTTTTTTCTATAGCCAAATAAATTCATAAACATTCATAGTTAACATCAAGTGTCTCTGAAATGTAAGTGCCTTCTAAATAATTTGTATTATTCCCAAAGAATAAAACGTGTACTTACCCAGGGAATGTGGAGAAGGGAGAGGGGTTCCTCTGGACCAGGCTCTGGCTCGACGTGCCCTCGAAGGACATGTGGGAGAAGGGCTCCTCGGGGACCCGCGGGGACGGTCCCCAATAGTGCGGCTCTGCAGAAGAGGGCTGCAGGGGCCACCGGGACAGCTCGCCTCTGAACATCGCCTGTTGCTGTGGAGGAGACGCGTGTGCGCTCATGTCAAAGGAGAGCAAAGGTTTACCGGACAGAGAGCTTCTGGACTCGGACCTGGCCTGTGCCAGCGCCTCCGGTGGGCTCAGCTCGAGCATAAAGTTTGGAGATCCAGCGGTGCCAGGTCGTGAAGCCGCGGCGCTGAAAGACGCTTCGCTCTCCGCCAAAGGCAGCCTCCTCTGCGGATCACAACAGGTGTCCAGGGCGCTCAGGTCCGCGGGGGCTTCGAAGCGGGGACAGGGGCTCCCCATGATCACTGACGGCTCCTTCTCATCCTTAATGTATTTACACGATGTGGGGAGAATGGCAGGCTGGTTTGCAACAACAGTTCTTTTGGTAAAGTCCTCCCACGGCAAAGTATCGCACTTGAGAAACTCGTTACTGCCGCGATCAAGAAAATGTTTCCCAGTCCCTGATTGTGCGTCAAGCAAATGAAACTCTTTAAACACGGACTCGCCACCGCCGCTGGCGCTTACACTGTGAGCCAAACTCCCCGTACTTCCAAAATCACGCACGGAAGATAAAAACTGTACATCATTAGTTAATTTGATGCTACTGTATCTGCTTTCCATCGAGTTACTTACTCTTGCTGTATCAGCTGAATCCACAATCTGAGCAGGCCCACTTATGTCGCTCATTCTGCCCTCAACTTTACTTTCCATTTGAGGCGCACGGTGGAGATTGCGCGCAGAGACTCGACACCACAGTCAAAGTCAGCAGAGATCTTCCTGTATAATCCGCCTCCCAACTCTGCTCGGATACAGATCTCTCAAAGGAAAATCATTTGTGATAAAGGCAAATAAACACAATACTCCATATGTTTGAGGATCAGCCTACACATGTTCTAAAACAGCCTTTAAAGTCCTCATAGTTGATCTACTGTCTTTGAAGCAGAGAAGGCAAAGGTTTGGAGATAGGCTCCCTCTCACTGACATACAGTCAAGTTTCTAACCAATCACCAGCTTCCACTGTGCATCACATAAAAACCAGGGCCACCCTGTGGTCATGAATGAGCTCAACATGAATTCACGGTCTGTAGTGGAAGCCTATGTACAGTACTAACACAGTTGTATGTCTTGTTTTGTCATGTTTATGATCACAAATATGTTTTTTGAAAGACCACAAATAAATGTGAAACAACAAGAAACTTGGGGCTTACACTTATAATTTGTTTCTAAATATTACATATTATTTTCATTAATGACATTAGACTATGTAATGCACTCAGAGACTGTATGAATACTTGTGGAAGTCCCACTTTATGTTTTTTTTTTTTCTTAAACAAAAACATAATTTGTATCACTTCACAGTTTTCTGTTACTTTGTTGTGGTCTTTCTAAAAAGAAAAAAAAAATCAAAATAAGTGTAGATGTTGGGGCTGTAAACATGACAACATTTATTATTGTTTCTAGTTGTATCATTTGTCTAAAGATCGTGATGTCATCAGTCGGCCTACAGACTCTCTTTCTCATTTCCATACTGTAAGTGCTCATGTGCTGTCGATGATGTGTGTACGTGTGAGTTTATGACGGAGTGGTAGAAGTGATGAACACACAGGCCTTGGCCCTATCTCCAGCGTGTTCTGTGTAATCTGTCAGGGTTCTCAGGCTGTGGCCAACATCATTACTGGTTTGCCTTATGACATAGCACTTGCAATTATCTGCTAATATATTAATCTGTTCTATTTTACAATGTTACTTTTCCATTTGCCCCAGTGCATCTGACTCTGTAAACGTCTTGAGCTGAAATGCAGCCATGTCCCTGTGCCAGCTGGAGAGGTGCTGTCTACAGGTCAGACTGATCTCCTATGTGTCTTTTCTCACTTGTAGCTCAAAGCAGATCATCCCGAAAAGAACATTAAGACTGAATAACACTAGTTACAATGTCATTACGGTTAAGAGCTTTATTACACATCGGACATGTGAACCAGATTTTATTCTCACAGACATATCTTCCTTTGAGTGTTTGTGTATTTATGTAAAGAGGAGTGAGCGGGCACCAGCTGCTGTATCTTATTAAAATCACTACAGAATATATGAACCCGCCTGTAGTTATAGCCACAAGAGCTAGCACCATATGGTTATTTGTGCAGACTGAAGCCAATATAATGTATGGGTATGAGTATTCCTGCTCCGTGGGATATGAGTATTTGGTGAGACAACTACTCTGTGTGACTTAATATATTTTGTAGACAAACCATTCCACAAGTTTATTTTCTGCAGAACTCATGACTAGGACCTGCCCCTCCTAAGTCTTGAATGAGTTGTTGCATGTTGTCCAAATCATGTTTAGAGTGCTCCAGCAACTCAAACTTCAAGCCTGAGATGTCCTGTTTGATTTCCTTTAACGCACCTGTCAACAACATTCAAGCAGCACTTAAGTGTTTTTCACTCCACAAATGTACTGAGCAGATTTATAGCTTACCTTCGTTCACATCTGCATTGCATTTGTCTATTTGCGCTTTTAAAATGTATCTTTTGATCAGACGATTCATTATCTTCTGCAACAAAGTATCAGGACTTTTTTTTTACAAAGAAGGCAGTGCTCATATGTCTAATAGTAACAACATGTATCAAGATAGCTGCAGTTACAATGTGTCTGTGCCTTTATTATGATTGCCATGTGAGATAAAAAAATACAATATGATTAAACATGCTTTACTTGGTGATGGCCAGAACAGAAAGACGATTCTAAAGGGGGAACATCTGGTCTCTTCAGCTAAGATAGAAAAATACATGAACCAACATGCTTGAATTCCACAGACATATGAGCATAAAGCAAAATATAATTGGCAATCACCTTTCCTTGTTCTGTTTCGAAGCTGGATGTTTCCTTACTGTTTCTTGGAGACACATCCCACATGATTTCCCTTAGCCTTGACCAGAGGAAAGCCAGGGACATGGGACTGGGAACAAGGTTGAAGGGCACAGGCAAAGTCCCCCCGTGCTCAAAATAGGAGAACCACAGTTTAGCGCGTGCAAACTTCCACTCTACATCAGCGTCATCCTGAAAATACACACACACTATTAGATTTGTGTTTGTGCAAAGCCATCTATAACTATCATTATCATTATTATATTTGGTCAGAATTTGAGAAGTGACTGTACCTGTATTTCCTGAAAGGAGCTATTGAACATGGCGATCAGCATGTTCAGCAGAACGATCACCATGATGATGTTGTACACACCGTACAGGACGTAGCCCGTGTTTTCTATGAATTTGTGGTCTATGTCTAAGACCACTGATTTCACTTCAGACAAGCCAAATATGGCCCAGAATAATGTCTTAAAACTCTCTTCAAGCCTACAAAAAATAAAAAGTCGAAAATATATGAAAAGCCTAATACCACATTGACCGGTACATCTCAATAAGTATTTGTGCATATCACACATTCCACTAGATGACTGAATAAGGCTGTTTTTCTTCTTTGGGAAATATGGTACAGTGCATAATTTTACTTTTAGGCTGCACAGAAGTAGTTACCTCACAACCACAAAGAAAACTCTTGTCAGCTAATTACCCAATTGCCAGTCTGAGAGAAGTGTATCTTAACATATTATTTTATTATATGACTTGGACCGTACGCGCGCTCTGATTGGCTGATTACCGGTCTGACATTTTCCCATGTCAGACCGTTACCATGACATTTGGTCCGAACAGCGCGTATCACATTTGATATCTTTCCTCGGACCGTTACCATGACAATCAGTCCGAAGCGCGTATTACAATTGATTTATTTCCTGAGTTTCCTCTGTAAAAAAAGAAATAATGGGCGACAACTGGTATCATTCTCCAGTGAATTCTATTATCCGGACGAGTTTGACGAGCCAGAGGAAGAAATTACAGAAAATAACGAAGAAAAAATAACTAACAGACAAGATCAGATTGACAACTTTGTTGCAGACCAGAAAGCTAAAAACACGATTAGGAAAACAAAGTCGGAGATTGATATTTGCATAAATTAAAAATACTAATTTAATAAAACAGTTATTAATCTCGCTTGCTCGGTCTGTACAGAGAAATATCAGACCTTGGCCTTTTTGCACAGACCTCGCCACGGCTCGGCCTGTACATTAAGGCCGCGGTCTGATTTCCCCATATAGACCTCGCGCTCGGTTAATAAGCCGTTAATATTATTTGTTTAATGAAATTGCATAATGTATTTTGTATGAAATAGTATTTCTTATAACTTATTTAGACACCATCATTATTGATCTGTATGTCACAAACTATCACTTATAGATGTAATAAATATTTAATATCAATACAACATTCACAAAACAAAGTATTTTCAACACCCTACAACTAATTTAAAAGTTCTGCTCAATTTTCTATTATACTATTGCACTTTTAGTTTGGGAGAGTGTGATGTTTGTATTAGAATGTGTATCACCTGGATCATCACCTCATTTGTTCTAAATATGGCCATCTTTATGTTTCTTCTGCTATATTTTGAAGTGGCTTTTTTAGACCACAATAATACCTATTGAGATGCACTCGTCTCTGATAATAGAATGTAATACTATACTCACGTCGTAAAGGCACTGTTGTGCTTAGCTCCAAGGTAATAGGAGTACAGATTGAACATTCCCACCATGAATGCCACAAAAACAGTTATGAAAATGACCATAAATTTGAATATATCTTTCACAGTCCTTCCCAAGGAGATTTGCAGAGGCCCGAAGCTCTCATTTGCAGGCAATATGTATGCAATTCTGGAGAAACTAAGTACAACTGCAATTGCATATAGTCCTTCAGAGATTAGCTGTGGGTCTGAAGGCATCCAGTGGATCCGAGCTGAAAATAAACAAATGTTTTGAGCAACCTCTCACACAGATAGTCCCTCCCACAGTTTTATGCATGCGTAATGGATAAAAGGAAACAGCCTTGACACAGTTAGATAAAGTTCAACTCACCAAGTTGGAAATACTGGATCTCAATAGGCAAGGTTACATTAGCCAAGTCGGTATAGAGCCTGTCCACGTAGCACTGAGCTTTGTAGGCATGCCAAAACGCCATGAATCTCGCCATGAAGGAAGTCATAAAAATGGTCAAAATACTGAAATCAAGAAGGTTCCAAGGTTCTGAAACATAATCGCGGATGTCCTGTGCCCAAATGTCTTTGCACTCTTCCCAGATTTTACCTAAAACAAAAAGTAGTCGATGTCAGGTGATCATTCACATTCACTCTACCATAAACCAACATCCTCGTCATACTTTTCTTAGACACTTTTTGTATTATATAATTATAATTCGACAGCAGTTGTCATATGGTCATAGGTAAAGCTGGTATACCTAATATTCAAACCACAAACAATAGAATTATGTTATAAAATGTTGTTTGGTTCTATCATAAATATTCACATGCATGTATTGGCCTCATCACATCTTTTGATCAACTTTTTCAGACAAACAAGTGAAAGAGAGAGGACCACCCTCACACAGCCAACCACTGACTTTGAGAAATGTTTAAATGTGAGCGGTGAGCTCGCTCTTTTTGCTCGCCCTCCCCGCACGGAGCTTTCCCCCACTACCCCCCTCCCCCTCAGCCTGCGCTCACATGCTACATGCTACGCTATGTATACGGAGCTAACGTCTCACAATATGGATCGCACGTGGATGGCGTGACCATAGAATGATAGAATCAGGAAGCGCAGAGGAACAAGACTTTCTTTTGGATGGCTGTTTCGCTGTGTAAGCAGAAACCGGTAACGAAGACACTGGAAGTTTCAGTTTAGCCTCCGCCGCTTCTTTACCTCAGCTGTCTGTGCTAACGAGAGACCTGTGGCTTTTCTCAAGAAAGTGGGGGCCAGTGGCCCGCTGTGATTGGTCACAATCTGGACCCGAAACACATTCTCTTCCTCGTTGCATCAAAACTCGATCTAAAATAAAATGAGACGCCAGCACAAATCTGCGCTACTTTTTCTTCAAGAGGACATATATCCCAATACACTGCATGGATATGGTTTGAAATTTCTTAAGGAATAAAAAAATAAAGTCAGGTAATGCAACTTTAAGCATGAAATATTGACTCAAAGGGCTATTTCTTATGCAAAAGTATTCGGAAAATAAATTTGCTTTAAAGTTTTCTAATAAGATGACGAAAGCTTCAAGTTGTGGTAGGATTTTAACAGACTCTTTCTGTTAGGACAAAAGCATGTACTATATATGTGAAACCAAAAAGTTACAGTAGGTACCCCAGATTTCAGGTTGTGTATTCTAAAGATTTTTGTAGATTATATATAGATTGAGTCCAGATTATACTACACCAAAATTCAGACAATAAGCATCTGGTGCATACTGGGGTTGTCTTGTACAGTTATTCCAATATAGTTTTGGAATAACTGTACAAGACAACTTGTCTTGAACCTAATTAAAGGGTGGAATATGTATGTACCATTATTTACAGTACATGGGGCGACAGTAGCTCAGTTGGTAGAGCATTGACCTTTGAGCCTGAAGGTTGTGGGTTCAAGCTCACCACAAAACTTTCTCCACCGAGTCCCACTGATGTCTGCTGTCGTTGTGTCCTTGGCAAGACACTTAACCTCTGGGAACACCATGTGCCACAGTGGGGCGGCTGCGGCTGTAAAGTGCCAAACTGCTGTTGTGTCCTTCACCCCCATATTGCCTAGAATGAGTCTGGTGTGTGTGAATGGTTGGTGGTGGTCGGAGGGGCCGATGGCACATACTGGTTGCCTCGCTTCTGTCAGTGTGCCCCAGGGCAGCTGTGGCAACAGTAGTAGTTTATCACCACCGTGTACGGAGTGAAAGAATAATGACATGTAAAGCGTCTTTGAGTGTCCAAAAGCGCTATATAAAACCGATCCATTATTATGTGTAGTAAAATACAGTAGTACATGTTTTATACAAATGCAATTAAGAGGACAAAAAAGATAGGGGCATCTGACCTAAGACCCAAGAAAGGATGAGAATCTCCATCCAAGTGAAAGGAGTGGTCTTCATGCGGAACAGCTGTGAGGGCGAATCGTGCAAGGTCATATTGGGTAACAGTGACGTGCCCTCAAACCGGTCGGCCGCGTTCAAGACCAACAAGCACAGAAAAATGATAAAAGAAGCAGCATGGGCCACAAACTTCAGAAAAGGCCCGCACATGAGTTTTCCCAACTGCGAAGGGAAATGAGAAACAAGATCAATCTGACTTGACACTTTGATGCAAATTTAGAGGTTAACAACAATAGATTCTACCTTGCTAGACGGTGCTAACAAATAGATCAAGGCCAGGAATGGTAGCCCCAAAGCCACTCCGAGGACAAGCAGCAACTTAATAGCAGTTGTTTGCTGGCGAAGACCAGACAAGTTTTCATACCAGATCAAATGAAGTTGCTGCTGGCAATTTGGGTGTGCCACAAACTGGTCCAATAGCATTATTTGTTTTATAAGAGAAGGAAGTGAACATTAAAAGCACAGTCACATATCAAGCCAGTCACGTTTAAGTGCATACCTTTTTGACTTCGTACTTAATAGCCAGTTTTAATCGGATGAGATTTTGTCGGCCTGATGTTGACTCAGTATCTCCATTCAAGATGGCGTCCACCTCCTCTGTGTTCCTGCACAAGTCAAGAAGTCCAACGACAAAGTCTTTACACTGCATGGACAAGTTCTTGTAGTCATTCTGAAAAAAAAAAAAAACAGACACATGTATTATCTCCAGGCTGTCCTGCATGATATATTTATTTTGCCATTCACCTTAAATTCTTTCTCAATGTTGGCGAGAACAGCTAGCTCATTACTAAGCTCTAGGGCAGCCATGACGGGATCCTCATTTGATAGTGACAGATAAGCAGGACTGGCCAGACCTCGATATGCATTAATGCGTGATATGGAATGGCTGAACGAGTCGTGCCTTTGCTGCTCGCTGCACACCATGCACTGGCAGAAATAATCATGTGGCCGTTGTATCTGAGCTCCTTTCATGAGAAGAACATGCACCATTTCATATTCGTGGCTCTGGGACGCCAGAATAATGGGAGTGATGTCATGGGAAAACCGCGTGCCATCTTCATCGTAAGCATAGAAGTCATCGTGTGGGTCTGCCTGGCATGGACTGTGGGTCAGCATACGGCCATCTGTAAATGCCTGGTGACACAATATTTCCTCCACAATACGGACATATCCTTTACTTATCGCTAACAACAATGCATCCCCTACTCTTGCCAGGTTTTCCTTTTTAAGTAGGAGCTTTGTTACCTCTACATGCTCATTTGCCACTGCCAGCTGCAAAGCATTCTGGCCCATGTAGTTCACACAGTTGAAGTTGAAGTTTGGTATTTCCAAAAGTATTCGCTTAACCTCAGGAATGTTTCCATATTCAGCCGCATTAAGAAATTGCTCCTCTGTCACAGAAAGATGGATTGAAGACTGGGCATGGAAGAGATATCCAGCAACTCGAACAACATGTCTCCGTTGCTTGGCCATGGCGGGCTGCATCCACCTTCCAGCGCAATTAATCCATCTAAAAGCAGATGATACACAAAATAGCAAATGACTGTCGATATGTCCAAAGTAATTGGTAAAGCTTTTGTAAAGAAGCAGTGTTCTCCAACAGCTGTTGTCAAGTACAAATTAGCTTTGCTTGAATTTGTTTGTCTTGCAAGTAAAAAGAAGAGACCCAAGCAGTCAGCATTGTTCATTAGTGGACAGCTGGTCTCTTCTGAATTAGAAGTGGAGCTGAATGTGTTACACCACCCACAGTCTCATCATCTGCTCCATGTCAAACTGGAGCTGTCCACTCTGCCACTCCCCAACACATACATGCAATACTGTATTCGCTCATCAATACATAGTGAAAGGGTGAATTCAATTACAAATGTGTCCTGTGAAACTTTAACAACATTATTTTGAGTGGTATGTCATTGTGCATGGAGAAAGTGCTCTTTCCTCCTTCAGTGGTTGGTCTCCGTAACAGGATTTTACGTGGGAATAATAGAAACAGTCCAGTCTGTATTGTTGTTCCATTTTTGAACGACAATAGTGTAAGCAAAGGCATTCTAAGTTCCAGACAACAGGAGGCTAATGTAAAGAGAAATATAATGTGATTTCAATTGGTTGCTATCACGCGACTTCTCAACAATCTAAAATCTTTATAATTTAACAATGGGCCGTCAGTGATGTTGGATGTATCGAGTTAATGAAAGTAGTTACTGTAATATATTCTCTTACAAAGTTGAACATTTGTATCATATTAGTTACAATATAAGTAATTCGAGTCACTTGCATATTTAATTCATGTGCGTGTTTGCTTGGTGTTCCCACGGTTTACAATTAACTTGAGAGAAAAGGTGATCATTATAGTAAAAAAGCAAATCTTTTCCCCTGAAACAGAAGAAGAAAATGAAACCATGTGTCATTTGCATTCGAACACTAACTGCGTATTATAATTAGTGTTTTGGCTAGAGATACATTTGGCTCAATGATTGTAAATTGGACACATTCTAAAATGCTATTAAGAATAAAATAGTTTGTATTAAACTAAATATTCTTAATTTCTCCCTCTCGAAGACAATACACTGAATACATGATTCACATGTGAATAAAATTGTCATTGTTATTATTGTTAGGATATTTTACTAACAATAATAACAATTACAATTTTATTGGAAATACATTTTAGTTTATGTAGTTTATACATTTATTTAGGGTAGAAAATGTAACAAATCTGTAAACATATCAAATGCATTCAGATCTGAATACTTAACTTCATGCATATTTTGCATACTCCTGTATGCAGAGGTATTTGCATATACACACTCTTCATTTAATAATCCATGTAAAAATACATGTAGAAGCACGCATACATAGGTCAATGATTATATCAAGGAATGTATATCATAATAGATTGTATTTTGTTTATCATGACAAGAACTACCAAACAACAATTAAATAAATATCTAAAAAGAACATTTGCACTCAAATATATTTGATGTGGTAATCACATTTAATCTATGTACTAGATTCATAACTGCATTCTTTATGGTCAAGTCACATAAATTGAATTTAATTTAACTGGTTTGATCCGACCTATTCTTCTGGTCAGGTGTTAAACTGCTTTTAGTTGCATTAAACTTGAAACAACAGATCTTAATCTAAACCTGTAAACATCAGCATAACACAGATAGTGGGTATGGGGTCATTAAAGGGGTGTTGACGCTCACCTTCTGTCGGACACGTCGCCTCCTTTGTGAAAGCACCTGTGAGATCCAATAGCTCTGATGAGGAGGGAGCACACCCAGGGGTGGGGTGGGGCATCATCATCAACAGGATGGGGGATAATAAGAAACCACAATTCTTATTATCTACTGTTATTATTTATCATTATTATTATTATTATTATTATCATGAAAATGTCACTGGAAACTCCATGTCTAACTCTTTACACAGAACTGTGTTTTGAACCAACCACATTTTTCTGTTCATTGCCTGGAGTTTGGCTGGGTGCACAACCAATCTAAAAAAGCACATTCAAATCCTCTTAACTTCCATGCAATCAAATGTAACAGTGAATCAGAGCATGCACTCTTTGAATGGTAATCCACTGTACAAATGGGCTATTTGGATTAGGGATGCGTTGAAAAGAATGAACATTATTTGGCAACACATCTACAATGCAAATAAATATAGATCATAGCTGAAACAACACTATTTATGACAGTGGTGTATGATTTATTTTGGTGGATTATGACATCAATGATAGCTTTAAACCAATAAAGTCACAGTTATGAATATAATATGACTATATTTTAAAATTTGAAGGAAGTAGAGCAGGGTTTTACACAATTTACAACAAACACAACTAAATACACATATTTTCTTTACGTGTAATCCATCCAATTTAAAATCTCTGAGTATATTGTAGGAGTTTTGTCCCAGTTTATCACATGGTTGCTTGGTAACGACCCTAGCGTGATGTCATCAACGTCAACCAGGAAGTAAAATTATAAATCCAAAAATAAGATGAAGACTGAGATGAAGTGTGTATGACAATTAGAAAATTCTTATTTATAATGATGTTAACTGTGTTTTTCAAAAAAGTCAAGTCTACTCTCATGCGCATTTTAAAGTTTAAACTGTGTTCTTGTGTCTCGTCTCCTGTGTCTGTCTCTCGGATGTTCTGGGCGCCACCTGCTGGTCAAAGTGGGATCTACAACCCCTCGCTGTTGTCAAGGAAGTGCGTGAACCGTTGCTATCGAGGACTGTACACAGACATCACCAGCACAGAGCCAGAAATGCTCACTTCGTGTTCATATGCTGCTATATGTGTGCTGCTAAAATTATCCAAACGAGCGAATAATACTAAATACGACAAAATGCAACCGCTAGCGACCCGGAAATGACCAGTACAATGTTGTCTGATACTGGCTAAAGGAAAGAAGTTAAAGCTAAACTAACTAGCTAGCACACCGTTATCTATCCGGAGACCTGTCGCAAAGGATGCAAGCTCTTGATGACAACTTTTTCTACTCGTATCCTCCTTATAAGCTAAGTGTAGCTAGTTAGATACATCCATGCAAGCTAGAGTTAACGCTTTATAAATAATGTGTTTATCATGACGTAACCACATTCAACACGTCAAAGACACTATCACTGTTAAATCCATGTCTCTAAATAATATCATCACATTTTCTTTAGCTCGTTTGTTCAGAAACTCAAGATTAATCAATGGAAACCTGCAGAAGGAGAAACAGCTGCTGGTGGAAGAGCAGAAGTTGTGCAGAGCGAGATCGCGCAAATTCTTTTTGGAAACCCAGCGACGTCGAAAGTCAGTGTTTCATAATTTACTGTTTTAACTTATCCTTGAATTGACGTGCCAACGCTCGGCGCTTGTTTGGGTGCCTGTATTATGTTATTGTGCGAGGCAAGCAGGCAGCCAGACAGTTTCTGATTCTGTCAGAGAAAGAGTTGCTAGGATGATAGGATGGCTGTCTATACCTGGTTCCGCTGCAGGCTTCTCTCAAGGTAACAGGAGGCTTCTGCAGACTGCTATTTGCATGAGGACTGCAAGGTCAGGGTCAATAAACTTGCAAGAAATCGAAATGTTCTGATTAAATATGCATAATAAGGAGAGCACTTCTGGGGCTTTTGAGAGTTACTGTATCTGTTTATTTAAGCCTTATGCCTATAGCCAGGTTTTGCAAGCGATACGTTTCTCAGAGTGAAACAGGAGGCTTAGCTGTTAACTATTTTGAATGGGCAAACGTTCTTAAAACGAGAAGCTGGACACCATCATTATAGCTGAGGTGCCTTTTTCTTTAACCACATATAATACAATTGATATAAGTGATTCCTCACTCTAAAACAGTCTGACTAGAATTCACATGTGTTGTTTTCCCCCTCTGTCACTTCTTGAAAAAGAGAGGACAATATTTAGTACAAAGAGTTAAATAGTGACTCACAGTGCTTGTTTTTACTAGAATGCAAAATATAAGTTGTTGACATTGCAAAACAGGATGACCTGGGACATTTATGAATATTTATTGTCATTGGTTAACCCGTTATCCTGTGGACCAATGACTCCATTGTTGTATTTCTAATGTGTTCTAATGTGTTCTATTGCTTTACTAATCTTCTGTTTCCGAAACGACAATTCAGTGACACTGGTCAGGTGACTGCTAATGTGATTTTGGGCTAAACAAATATATATTTAATTGAAACTATGTTGTGGTCCCAGCTTTTATCAGAAAACATCCTATATCTACGTATCTGCACAAGAGTGGTCCTCTCTTGTTCACTTTCCTGTGTGAAAAAGCTGATCTCAAGATTTTCCAGAGGCCAAAAATACATGCATGTATCTTTTAAGTGACAGACAAACTGTTTTGAGTGTAGGTTACAAGTTAAATGGATCTATGGCCTAGTTCATGTGGTTTGAAAGTTAGGCCCCTCAGCTTTAAGGCTTAGACTCCAGGTGCTTTGTAATGACCCCGTGAAATGTCATTAACTACTTTCCTCACTAATCGCTGTCAGTGAATGCTGTAATTTATTAATGAGTGTGTCGAAAGTTTCTCTCGAAATAGACTCTTATTTCAAGTCGGCAAAATGTAATCAGTTAAATTATTTGGTGCATTTTTGATTTTTGGGGTCCAGGGCTTTGGAGGAGCGACGGAAACGCTGGGACGTCCATGAGCAACGGCTGATAGAAGATGCACTACAGCAGCGGCGACAGAAGGTGCAAGAGGCCACCGAACGCTTCCAAAGAGCACATCTACCTCCTTCTCAAAGACACAGACAATGTTAGAAATATATCCTAAAATGTACATGTTATCCCTCATTTTTCCAATAACTTCCTGTTTTTTCTTTTTGCTTTCATAGCTTGTAAAAATAATGTCCCAACTTTAGATGATGCACTTCACCATATTCAAGGCAGCTCACGTTTTGATAACCGGCAATCCTTATTTGGACATGTAAGCAGGTAAATACTTAATTTATGATCTGCTTCTAATTTATTGTTGCAAATATCTAACTGCACTTGGGTCCTCTGTTGTTGAAGTCAAACTCTTTCCTCCAAAACATCCTCACAACAATCTCCGCATCATGCCCTCTCAGCTGTGGAGGCCTACACCCAGCTGCTTCAAGAAAGAAGTCTTAATTCACTGCAGGAGAATCGAGACATCACTGAGCCCCCACAGAAGCCTGGTCACTGCAGTCCACAGGTGGTTACAGGAATTATCTTGGTAAAACCAGATCTTCTGCAGATTGAGGTAGAGATTATCGAGATTGCTCCCACGACGGGCTGTAGATGTGTCTAGGACTGACGTGCATCAGTTTGGAAATGTACATTTTTAGTTTGATTATTTTAAGTGAGGTTTATTTTAACAAAGGTTATCAATGATTACTTTTGTTTAATTGAGTCATAAATAATCTATCTTTTCCTTCCTCAAAATATATCAAAAGATGTACATTCTGATACAAGATTTTTAGAAAATAGATCAAATATGATTCATAGCTAGAATAAATAGAGAATTTATCAACAACAACAAAAAACATTACAATCTTGGAAAGAAACAAGTGCTTCTGTGACCTCAACACTACAATTTAACATGGTTTTACTTTTAAGTATAATGATTCAATAAACTTTATTAGTCATTTCAGTCCTAATATTATATATCCAGATCAATCTCAGTCAGTAGAAAAAAGATCTGAGTTTCCTGAAGTCACCAAGTAACAATTAAAACGGTAATTGCCAGAACTAACCTCTAGAGGGCAGCAATATCTCTTTAACACAGTGTTGTGTTTTCACCTGATAAGTACACTATAAGACCATGAGTTATATTTGCATGAATGTTTGACTTAACTTTAAACATCTCCATTCCCTCTGTGTCTAGGAGGACTCCCTTTCTGACTGCATTCACTCAGAGAGCATCTCCAGTAAAGACAGCCTGGATTCAGAGGAACCAAAGAATGGAACCAAATATTTTAATTCTTTATCTCCAGCCTTCTTACTTGACTCAAACAAGTGCCTTTCAGATGCGAAGAAGCACTTCCACCAACCAGACTATCCAACTGAAACACTTGTGGGTGATGCTTTAACACAATTCAAAAAGCATGAACTAAAGCTGAAAAAACAAAATGATTTTGATCTGCTCAAAAGTAAGAATGGTAATAGAAGCTATTCTTGGGTCATAGCAAAACACGAGAAAACACCTAAAAGTGACTTCAGTGCTGTAAAGTTGACCCAAAACAGCACAAATGACACCCGTATTGTTTCAGCTAGTACCCCCCACACCAAGACAGAACCTGACACCCCCTTTCCCAAACAAGAGTCTGCGCTGGACCTGAGACAACCCAAGGCCAATGATGACAGACAACTGATACATTCATCTGCAACAGAGGTTCTTTTGCCTACCAAAAATGGCAACGGCACAGACTATTTATTTGGGGCTTCCAAGCCAAACATCTTTTTAAATAATTGCACAATGGATTACACTTGTCAAGAGGGAGCCCTTGAGCAAGCGGGAAAAGACAACCTCTGTGTGTCCTCCCGGAAAGAGCTGAGTGCCTCCATAAACAACCTCAACAAGATTTCAGATCCAGATGACAAAGCTGAGAAGAAAAAAATGAACACAGAGCTGATTCACCGTACATGCCTTAATTGTAATAACACTGCTCCCAATTCTTACAAGTGCCTCAAATGTTGTGAACAGCAGAATCCAGCGTCCTCTGCAAGCTTTCAGAGAACTTGTGGGGTCCGATTTATTAAAGGAATCCTAAAAAAGCAATCCAAATTTATGTCAGGAGACGTTGCTTTTGTCTGCAACCCTGAACAGATGACCCTCACAAAACAAGTAGCCTTAGCCATTCGGGATAGTGTTGAATTGACCAGAGCCAAGAACACGGCCTTGGAAAACAGCAGTGCCGTCAAAAAGAAACTGCGCTGGTTTGATGAGGTGCATGTGAACTGTGAAGACAAAGGGCAGATCACTATAAAACAAATACGCAGCAAGTCTTCCAGTCAGTTGCACTCCAAAAGCCATTCAGAGGACCACCAACTTAGCATTGGCAGTGTTGCAGGGGCTATCAAGGCGGGACCCGGCGTGACCCGCACTGTCCCCAATGGTTATCACTTTACACGGAACGCATGGGCAGATGTTGGGGTCCAAGTCAGCTTGCCTCAACAACACGGAGATGAGGTCAAGGTGCAGCATAGGAACAACAAGAGCGGTGGCCTTAAAGCCACTACGAAAGAGCGCGTTGAAGCGGCTCCTGTTTCTTCAAGGACCAGAAAGGGCACATACATACGACCTCAGTCTGCCACAGAGGTGAGTCAGATTGCCAGAGCCCATGGGAGGCTGGTGATGCCTCGGCCACCTCCTCCTCGTGCTCAAGGAAGAGAAGAGCAGAAGGGGTTTCTCATCACCGCGGCTCCATATGGCACCGATCATGCTAAAATCAACTGTAGACCAGCCGAAGAGTTTGTTTTGCAAAGAGATGAAGTCAACACGTGTTATCCAGTGTATACAAATAATGAAGAACGGGCGGATAATGGTTTAATGTTCACGCCTCATCCACCGTCGTATACGTGTACCAACACAGACGGCAACACCAGTTCCAAGCCTCGATTGAGTCATCACGGCCAAAAAGCAGGGATGGGGCACGATGACAAAAGCTCTTCTTTAAAATGCACTCCCACAGAGGAGGAGATATCACAGCTCTGGTTTGGAGTCCGCACCGCCCTGGCAACTAAGGATGGTAAAGTATATTTGGCAGCTTTCGTTTTCAATATTGCAGAATTTGACAGGACTCCAGTGTTCCTCAACCTTTTTGAGCTTTGGTACACCCTTGGTTCATTGAAAGCAATCACATGGCACACCACCAGCTGTAATTGAAACAAGAGAAAACAGTAATTTGCATCTAATTGAATTGTATAGAAAACAAAAAATTCTTTCTAATCTTCTCAGATTATTTTTACCCATCAGAGAATATTGGATCATGTCCAAAAACACACCAAACAACATCTCTCACTGGTCGATAAACACTGGACTTTTTTTTTTTTTTCAATGTATTGTTTATTTGGTTGGGACAGTGCTTGTTAATGAACACATCACTACTTGTTGTAGCCATAGGATAATTCGCATCCGTTGTCCCACATGTGCACTCACAAACTCACACTCATTCACCCTGAAATATTGCACATGTTTTTATTGGTAGGGGAAACCGGAGTATCTGGGGGAAACCTACGTAGACATGGGGAGAACATGCAAACTCCCATCAGAAAGGTCCTGTTCCGACTGTGATTCGAACCCAGAACCTTCTTGCTGAGAGGCGAGAGTGCTATCCACTCAGCCACCATGCCGCCGATGATCTCACCAATCACGTCTGATATTGAGATGAATGATTTTCACAATAAAACAATGAAACATTTGTCAATTAAAACGTTCTGCACCTGAATGTTTCTGATTGAAATCTACGTTGCAGTATGCATTTGCGTTTAATTATTGCTGAACTTTTTTTTGCAGCACACGTAGCTCTAAGGCATAGGGTTGTGGAAAGTACACACAATGAAAGAAGGAAGTCAGCACCTTTGGCCGTTCGAAAGCTGCCTCACTCCGCTCAGGTACATACACATATAAAGTGGAACACTGAGCTAAGCAAAGTGATGATTATTTTATGTTTGCATCTAAAAGTTATGATTGACAAAAATATGTTTCTTTTTACAGCCGACCAAGCGGACTCTAGACCCAGGTAAACAGTATTATTCTTCTCTTGACAAGTGTTTTGCTGCTTTGTTTCAAACCATTACTTTTTCTATCCCCAGACTCCTTTCGTTTCGGCCGTATGAACAAAGATGAAACACAAAATGAGGATCAAAGGCATGAAACCTTTCACCAGCAACACCAGCCAGGGTTCGCCACTATTTCAATGGAAGAAGACAGAATCCTTCAGTCCTTGGACAGACTGAACCACCGCCTGTACTGTGAGTCGTAGAATCTTTCACATTTTGGGCCTTGACCTAAATTTCCGCCCCATTAGAACCGAAATACATCATGTGCATGTATCTTCCATTCCTTGAAGATTGAATGAGTGAACAAATAAATGTAAAAAAGTAAAAAATTTTTTACTTTTGTGTTTTCAGATGTGCAGGAACAACATCCAGGGGAGGACAGAGCTATGGGCTTTCTAAACCAATATGTAAGGACACATTCTAAATGCTGAACTAAGCGCTGAAGTGTAGAAATATAAGTTATTATCCTTTTCTCTTTCCCCTTTGATTCTCTGTCACCTTTTCAGACAACGGACCTCAATGCCACCAGTCCACAGAAGCTGCACACGGGTTCTTATCAATCACAAACTCAGAAAAGACTCTAACTCTTCTCCAGCACTTCACCTCAGGAACCGAGTGTTAGTGATCACTAAGCAGTTCAATTATATTCTAGCATTAGACCCATGTATTGCCTTAATTATGTCAATGTACTGTATGTATTAGTATATTGTATTCAGCTTCTGTGCACTGTGTGTGGCGCACACATCTATGCCTTAGTATTTATATTAACACAATTATATCAGAACAATCCTGGTTATTACTAAACTTTACAATGAGATAAACTCCAAATGTCAAGCTTTGGGGGACAGACGACAGAGGTGCAGTTTGTTGGGGTGAGGCCCCTCCATATGAGACATGTCTGATTCTGCCCTTTGACTCTCCTGCTGGGACTTGCCTCAGAGAGGTGGAGGAAACACATTTAATGAGTCAAGCCCTGAGCCCTGATCAAAGCTATTGTTTTACAACTAGTGAGTTTAACCACAGGTTTCTTCTGTATTCTGCACTGCTCAGCCAGTCTTTATGTTGCAGATCATTAAAAAGGGATCAAAACACATGGCCATGTATCATTTATCACACCATCACATGATATCACTACTCGTTAGATTGTCAAGTCTGTGTCTACAAGATTTTTTTCTGCACTCAGACTTCTGCTTGGACATTTATCTTAATATTTCCTTTAATAAAAGGCATGTTTCACTGTCTGTCTGGCCCTACCTCTAACCTTAACTCATTGTGCCCCACAACAGTGAGCTTAATGACATAAGCCCAAAGCAGCACAACACCCAGAAACCCAACAAGAAAGGACAAGACAAGAGGCCTCAGAAGAGAAATAGGCCGTTTGGTGCAAGTTCAAGCATGCATGGAAGTGGAAGTCACACACTTTTTTAAACATTTCTTCATATTTGTCTTATTTTAAATTCAAAGAAACTATAATCTGAGTTCATGCCTTACAGGCTGGTGATATAATTCAGACAAATGAAGCAATTCAGTTTGTGTATTTAAATATTATTTTGCACAAGAAGTTTGCTATTTATTCATTTGTTTAGTGAAGCATGTACGGTATTTGGTGCATTTTTCAAGTTACCTCGAAAAGAACCAAGAGAAAAATGGAACATAGAAAAGTTAATTCAACCGGTTGGAGTGCAAACACATGGCTGGACTCTTTGTGAAGCCGAGGCCCTGTAGTGTTGGCCTCTGGTAACCCTTATACTCTAATTGTAAGTGGGGGCAAATCACAGAGACAAATTAAACTCCAAAATCACCTACATTTGGTTTGGTAAATATAAAGGAGTGTGTTGCTGGTGTCTGGGGCGTGGGTCTAATTGACTGCACTGTCTGCACAATGAGCAACTGTTAACAATTCCCCTTTCACAGCTGAGGCAAATTTCACTGAGAATGAGATATAGGGACCAGTAATAAAGCTACGGTGGAATACATGTCAAATACCTATTATAATTATTTTTTGCAAATAATCTATAATTATTTAGTTTGGTTTCAAACTGGGTCATATATTCCAAATTGTTTGTTTCGACTGGCAACACAAATGTGATGGTTTATTTAATATTTTTCTTTGTAAAAAATAAACGAAAACAAAAACACTAAATAGAGTAAAATGCACAAATGAGCCTGAGGAGGTGGGTTAAAAGACTAAATGTGTCATTGCCCTTTCATTCTCGATAGAGGGCGCCCAAGAGTCCATGTCATGTGGCGGCTGCTGCTGAAACATGCGTCACTATTATTTAACACCATCCGCGTAAAACTTAGAACTTGTGACGTGTTGGAAAGGTCATTCAGTCTTATAACTGAGTTTTTTAGGCCGCCCATAACACCTTATCAAACCATAGCTCTGTTAAGTAGGATTTGGGGGGGGGGGGGGGGGGGGGGGGGGGTGAGGAAAGTTACCAAACTTAGTGGGTGGTCCTTCAGAGCTCCAGGGACACCACGCGCAGTCCATCTCTGTGTCTGCTGAGTTCGCTGCAATAATGTGGGAATGACCACTTTCATTCAAAACAATGGGCATGTTATGACCCTCTGCCACGGTCACTCTCACACTGCATCTTTAGTCATATGCTCCACGACTGATTCGATTTTTAGGACACGGATATGCCAGCAACACCACAGAAAACGCTTGGATATTAAGCCTATAAGTATCATTAAATACAACTAGTGCTTCCCTGGTGTGTTGTTATGGCCATCCCTATTAGAAGACATTGTTTACCAGTGAAATCAAGTGTATGTTTGACTGTCTGATCACACATTTCAAATCTGCATGTCAACTTGACTTAAGTAAATAATTGTTCTGATTCAAGATTTGTATTTATGTAAATCATTTGCTTGGTGCATATCTTGAGCTTGCAGAGTGCAAAGACTAAATAGTGTCTGGAAAAATGTCTGACCAAGCAAAGCTCTGCAATCTGTCCTCTGGTCTTTACAGTGTGTCTGGGAATTAAAGCGTGGTCATAATCATTCATTCAGACCGTGTATGAGAAAAAGCTTTCGACAGAGCCCTATATCCAGAGAGAGGATCTTGACAAAATGATTTCTCAATGGGGCCTCATTTACATAACAATCATGGGAACTCTGTGGATCTGCTTTCAATGGACACTGTAAAACACATGGGGCTATTATTTTGTTCAAAACCAGATTGTCTTATTTAGGTTAAACCATCAGAATCTCCACAGAGCATTACACCTTGTACTTTGTGAAATAATACATTATATTTCTGTCGGTTTTGTTATGAATGCACAAGTTGTCTTTTTCATCAAATGTCTTAAGGTCATGGAAAGAAAATTGTTTTTGATTAATTCATCAATTTGTGTGGTCTTATAATACAACCATAGTAAAACAAACACAGGCTAAAGTTATTGAAAAAAATATACAAACAAGAACTAGAAATGAGGTCGTATAATCACAGGCTTCCGCGTATGTCTTATAGGATACAATAACACAACTATATTATGTGGTTTCCCTGGACTTGTATTTAATATATGTTTATTACAATGCTGTGTGCAGACAATGGGGGCCCCTGGTCAGTGCCTGTCCCTTTAAACGCTCCTATCCCAATTACAGCGAAGCCCCGCCTCAGGAGCAGACGTCCCATGAGTCATAAAGTTTGATGTCCTGCCAGAGTTGGATCGACTGAGCAAAACTTTTTTTCTCCATAGTGAGCTGCGGAGATTTCTTTTGCGATCTGTGAATTTCCTTTGCAACAACTGACAGAATACATTTGAGCGAATTCCACGGGATTCTTTTCGTCAAGAGTGTTTTGAAACGTTTGTCCTTTGATTTACTTTTTGTGAGGAAAAAACGCAAAAACAGATTCTAGTGTGGAGTAGAGCTTTGTTACCATCACAGTTATGCCTGCGAGAAGCCCCAAGAAAACAACGCTGTCCTTTGCTGCATGCTTTGACAGCTAACACACACTTTGGAAGTACAAATTCCTTTACACTTAAAGTTTAGTATGACCCCGTGCGCGTTTTATTGCTTTGCGTAAAGTTTTTTTCCACGCGTCTTGGTGCGTAAAAGTATTCCAAGATCATTTCTGTAACTTTGTGAGCGCATTATTTTGGGAAGCGCGCGTGGGAAGACTGCTTTGGCACAATGGAACCCGGCCAGCACAACCCTCCAGTCGGACACCAGATTGTCCACGTACGGGGAGACTCGGAGACAGACCTGGAGGCGCTGTTCAATGCCGTCATGAACCCCAAAAGTACCATCTTGCCGCCCTCGGTGCCCATGAGGATGAGAAAGCTCCCAGACTCTTTCTTCAAACCTCCAGAACCAAAGTCACACTCCAGACAAGTAAGGCCGCCTGTCAGCCCTCTTCATCCCCCTCCAAGAAAATCTGTTTTCAGCTGTAGGCCCATCCCGAACGCTGGGGCCCTGGCCTTCCTGCGCCTGCGCCTGGGCCTCATTTTACAAGCTCTGCGGCGAATGTCGAATGTTTTCATGAGATTTACTTTATTGTAATCATATTATTATTTCACATGGACGTAGAAGGTGTTAGATATATAGTTGCTACTACGATTTATATTTTTTGTTTTGGAATATTCCTGGGAGTTACTTTATAACCCTGGATAATAAAATTGTTTCTAAGTTTTCTAATCAATAGCTTTTTTTACGCCAATGTTTATTTGTAGAGTATATGAAAATAAAGGAAACACAACAAACTATTTCAATCATACTCTGTTGTTATCTTAGGCGAATCTCTGGTCTCTGCAGAATCCCATAGCACTTGTTGATTTTGCAAAGGAAAGTTGTCTTGTTGTGTTGTTAACATTTTGTTCTTGACAACATGTAAACAGTTTTATGATACGAAAAAAATGAGCCAATTTTAGATGTAAAAGACCCTGTGAATGCTAGACATTTTCTAATTGATTTCTTATGTTCAGCTTGATGTATAAAAAGATCCTTTTGCTGTGTGTTTGGTGCGCATGCGCAGTAAATGGTCAACACACATCAGGGTTGGGCACTGTCCCTCATCATGTAAATTAAACAATATAGTCTAAAGTTTGGAATTTTAGTTACATAGATAATTCCGTATTTAACTATTGGCTTTAAATGTGAAGATATTTATGGATGAATATTTGTTGTAACAAAGATGTTTTTATTTTCTTGAATTATAATGTATAGTGTATTGTCTTCCTTGCCTTGTTTAATTATGTGTGTCTTTCCCACAGGCCAGCACTGATGCAGGGAGTGGTCCATCCTTGACCCCCCACCATGTGCGTGCCCACTCTTCCCCTGCCTCCCTGCAGCTCGGGGCTGTCTCCGCAGGCTCTCTGTCTGGGATGGGCTCAGCAGGTGCCTCCCCTCAGCACCTTCGTCAGTCCTCTTACGAGATCCCCGATGATGTGCCCCTGCCTCCTGGCTGGGAGATGTCCAAAACACCCTCAGGACAGAGATACTTCCTCAAGTAAGCCCAAAGAGTTGCACTCCACAAGTGTCAATCACGACTGTTAAGTCTGTATACACAAACAGAAACATTGTTCTGATTCAATATCTCAGAGAAGTCACTCACTTGTGATTCAAACTCTGAGAGTGCCCAGCTTGCATGTTGTTGTGCTGCACACTAGTCCCTATTTAGTTGTGCGTACATAAAGCATACATGTTAAAGTGCCAGTCCCTTGAGAAGTCCAAGCTGGTTGTTATGAGTGAAGATTGTGTGCTCTTCTGTTCAGTAAGCATGATGGAGACATTCATTTGCAACTTGTTAGTGTGTACAACAATGGCCAGTGTTTTTTAAAAGAATGGATTGGGATTCTCAAATAGTAGGTTATTACATTTGGTGGGCCCAACAAACAACAGAAGTCTTTTTGGAGGTTCTGCCATATATAGTGTCCTTTTCTTAGGCTCACGTTTCAGCCAAAACAATGGACCACTGTCACTCCTCCAGACAGTAAAGGACAGAAGTCTGCAGATCTCCTGATCTCCTACTAAACTTCACTGCCTGAAATTGTTTTTGTAACTTTCCTCTGAAAACATTTTCACCTGTTTTGAATCACATAAGGCTTTTGTGGAAACTATAGTCTTTTAAGGTAAAATGTTGTCAAAGTTGCTTTATGAACAGCCTGTTGGGCTCAAATTAGCTAGGATCAAACAAAACTTTCTCGGCAGATGTCAGAAGTCTTCACATCTGGAGAACATCTGGGCCAAGTTGGAAAAAGCTTTTAAAAAGTGTTTTTAATTGTTTTTGTCTGTGTTCAGAGGCAGAGCTCTTCCAGGGGTCTCATTTTTTGTTATTCATAATTTACTCATACTCCAGATCCATTCATTGAATAGTCAATAAATGATATCCAGTTGTGAATGCTTACTGGCAAACAATAGCCATAATTCCTTTAGCAGTCAGGACCAACTGGCACGTGTATGCGGATCACAAATCCCTATAGTCTTTGTCGAAGTAAGAAAAAACTTGAGCAGACTGTGTCCATACGGCGCACATCAAAGCTGGAGATATTTGATCTGGAATAAAGGTGGCCTCTGCCGGGCAATCCGCTGAAAAAGACACTCCCCTATTTATAAACAGACCCGTCTGACCAAGTAGTGCTGCTGAGGGAGTGAAGCCAAGCGCGGGAGTGTGTGTGGGTGGTTGCTCGCCCGGGTGGGGGAGGAAAGAGAGAGCTGAGCAGTTAGCAGGGGCTTAGCCGAGGCTCACATTTCACTCAGGTGACCGCTGCTTGTTGTGCATTGATACATAAACTAATAGGGAAAAAGTCTTGCAACACAATCTTCTATTTCCTGTGGCTGATTTAACAGTACGTTTGTCCTGGGAGCGCGTTTGCCCCGTACATGCCTCTGTCCCACTCTCTACAAAAGCTCTGTTGTGGATTGAATGGGGATGTAGGTCTGTGATGGTGCCTTTTGTGTCAATGGAGTGAAATGGCAGCCGTGTGGGCATGTCATGTCTCGAACCGCAAGGGGCGCAGGCAGCTTGGATTGATCCTCCCTTTGTCCTGGTTGTATAACAGTGATCTTCATTCACAGACCAGACCAGTTGAGACTTGACCATTTGAGATTCATGTGAGCATCAAAATAGGCTCAAGATGAGAGGATGCTCAGAAATTATGATTCAAAAAATAATAATAATGTTGTGTTTGGAGGAGCTGCTTTGTGAAGTACTGTTGAGTTTATAGTTGAATTGTTACGTAAGTTTGTCTTCCTGGAGTTCATTCTGCAGAAAAGGTGACAAAATTGCAGATTGTCAAAAAAAAAAGGCGCCAAAGAAGCAGAACTTAAACTCTTTCTATACAGTGACCTGGCTTCCAACAAACTTTTCCTTACTTTTTTTCGCACATGTTTTTGTCTGTTTCACATCACATTTCTGAAAAAGTTTTGGTGCCTAAAAGCTTTATTATATGGTGATTGTTTTTTTTTTCAACCGTAAAATTTGAAGTTTTGGGAATACCACTACATACCGTTACATTTCCACACTTTGTGCTTTTATATGCATCGAAGGCTTAAATCTTACACATTTTAACCACATTCCAGTTGAAAAGAATCTGAATCGACCTGTTGATTTTTCCCATTACCCCCCACCCCTCAGCCAAAAAGACCCTTCACAACCCGGATGTAATTAGAATAGATAAATATTGGTATTTGCAGACATCACTTAAAGGACAACTCACCCTCAAATCCACTTTTTTTTGCTGATAAACGGTATAAATGAGTGTCCAATAGTGTTGTCTACATATCCTGGTCATAATCTTGTCACTTTGGTGCAAATTAGTTGAAAGTTAGACTTTCTGCCTAAAACAGTCTGTGAGGCGCCATCTGCTGGCGACCTGTATTACTACATTTGAATTTTGAATCCGGCGCCAACACTGGCACAGAAGTTGGACCTGACGTCTGCAAGTTAGACCTGACGTCAGCAGCCCCCCGCCCAGAGCAATGCAAACGGCCCAGTCTCGTTCACGCCCCCTTTAGTCCTCCAGGCTACGCCCATTTAGAGGAAGATTTGAACAGGAAATGTGAGTGACGTAAGCTCCGAGGAGCGGGGGTGAGAACCACTTTAATTATATAAGTAACACCCAAGCCTAAAGTGATGCTATAAGAACACCAAATAGTGTAATGACCTCTCCTCCTCCTGTGGCACAGTTTGCTCCGGCTGTCTTTGATTTATGGCACCGGGGCAGGAGGTTGGGTCACCTTGCCTTCTGCTCCAGTGGGGGTAGGGCCGGGGTCTCCAGGGCTGGGTCATAAACTAATGAAGGTTTCTAATTTAGACACACTGTGAGCTAGCAGAGGTAATCACTGTTTCCGACCGCTTATTAAACGCAGCTTTGAATGAGTTTTTTAGTCCGTGGGAAGTGGGCCCTGAGCAGAGAGGGGTGACCAGCGGGAGGGGGGGGGGGCTGTCTTTGGCCCCAGGGGCAGGTAGAGCTCAGAGCCCACAGACACTTTGTCTTTTCTCAATTGGATTTTAAGTTGTGGGGATAAGTGTGGTTTCCCGTAGATTAGTCACTTGTGGCTGGTTTTGCTTTTGACATAATTTGGCTTAAATAATATAATCCCTTCTTAAAACAATGTGTTTAATAACCGCATACTGAACAAAGAGCTTCTTTAAAACAAAAATGTCCAATGCATGTGATGTATAGTATGTATAGTGTTATGTTAAAGCTGGGAGGCCTAACTTTCAAACCACAAAAAGTCACTTATAAGTAAAAAATGAATAAATAAATAAAATACTTCCAACTAGTTCCTTGTATATTTCCTTCTAACACATTTTTAGCACGTTTTTGCATGCGTGTACTTTTGGTCCCTGTCACATCAGACTTTTTAGACAGAAAAGTGAAAAAGAGAGGACCACCCTCACTCAGCCAATCAGCTCTCAGCCCAAAGAGACAAATATTAATGCACATGGTTCATTGTTCTTGCATGTGAATAATATAATATAATAATTTATGATAAGAAAAAGACAGCGGTGGTTAGATTTGTTCAGAGCATTCTTTCTGTTGGGACAAACAAATTATTATTCATGAATATAGTTTCACTTTCTATTTAGGGCTGTGCATGTATCATATATAATTGATTCCCTTCGGTTGTGGTTTTTGTTCTACCTGTGAAGCGTTCAGCAATCTTCATAGATTTATTAATGATATAATAATTGTGGAAACATTATTAACATATTTTGGATTACTTTCACTACTTGAGAGTACATAAGCATTTGTTTGTGGTTTCAGCTATAGACAGATAATAGTGACGTTGATTTTTCTGGCCGCTAACACACTGCGCAATGATCAAGTAGAGAGTAATTGATTTTGATCAGGTTTTCACTTGGCTGATTGGTTCCATACAAAGTCTCAAGAGGTTTGAAGAGAGAAGAGGTCCTTGTGAACCTAGTCCCAAACGGTGCTGGGAACTTTCACCCGTGCCTGTGCAAAACCCTCATTTAGAGCAACTTTGTGTTTGACAAACTTTTGGTTTATTGACCACACACAGACAAGAGCCTTCCTGTTCCACGGCCTCCTGTCGGCTCGGTACACAAGTGGGACTGTGAGAAAGTCAGACGCTGTTTGCAAAAGACCCGATGCACCACCTCTGTTTCAGACATCAATGCACTCTCTGTCGGGGATTCTCCACTGAGGTGCGGATTCTCCAAAGTCCTGATGGTTTTGAGCCATCATCGACCGATCTGACCGCAATTTAAACTGTGATCCAGGTGATTTCAGGAGCCATTGAGCTGCGTTATTTTGAGGATTAGATACAAGAGGAAGTTCAGTTGGTTTTGAATCTTCTTCATCAACATGTCATGAATAGGTGGCGAATGATGACCCTTGTAATTTTAGTTTAGTTTATCTATACATGTGATAGAAAACACTGCAAAAATGATAAAAGATGAGGTAATGATTGCTTAAATAAAAATAAAACATTTTACAGACAGAGCCCTGTAAATCACTATTTGATGCTTTAAGCTGAATCTTTTCTTTTTCACTTACTGATATTAACGATGTGACAGGGAGAAGCCAAAATATACATGTTCACTTCTCAGCTAGAAAGTCCTGGGTTCGAATCCTGGTCGGCACGGGGCCTTTCAGAGTTGGGTTTGCATGTTGTACCTGTGTCTGTGTTGGTGTCCTCTGGGTGCTCCGGTTTCCCATACCACTAAAAACACATGTACAATAGTTCCCATCTCTTTGGGGCCAGAACTCCGATGTAAAAAAGAGATTTTGAAATCTCAGTGGCACTTTCCTGTTAAATGAAAGGTCAATAAACTAGTGAAAGCAAAGTACGGTATGCAAATTAGCAGAAGGAGGTGTCAAACTAACATTTACAGTGATGGCTCTGACTGTTTAGGTACATTTAAAGCAGCATACAAATACAAGAAGTGTGCATATATTTAAACATGTCTAAGTCACAATTATTTGGAGCTGGAGTTGTGAAATCCTACTCCCACGCTTCATTAGTGCTTGTTGTGAT